GCCCGCTATTCCCCTCACAACTCACAATGGCTTCAGAGGGACCCCCACCACCAGAGAAAAACATTGAATTACCTGGACCAAGCCATGATAATGTGAAGAAAATCATCGAGTTGGGGGATGAAAATTAAGCTCATCCTTGACAACGACCCAGACAAGCATCGGTATGAAGCGTCTAATAACCATCTGACGAAAGTTATGGAGCCGTATATCCAGATCTATCTCGACAACATCAATGCTAGTCGTCAACGTAGTATTGAGGACTTCCTCGCCCGCAACCCACTACAACCACAGCCAGCCCAAGTCAGTGATAATGATATTGACAGTGAGGATATGGACTTTGAGGGGTTTGTCTCGGAGGCCCTGCAAACCTCTGTGAGTAGAGAAAGTGATTCACCAGAGAGCAACTAATCTGCCCTCTGCCTCAGAACCAGCTGCCATCCATAATATTGCCATGGTTATCACTTCAATATTTATTTATTTTATTTATTTATAATTTTTTTTATTTATTTATATACAGCTCCTCCCCGACTAATGACCACCTGGACATACGACCGCTTCAGTCGTACCAAAATTTTGTCAAATTACGTATTTTCGAGTCCCAACGTCGGTGATTGCGCTGTGTACTGACAAAATTTTCATTTGTAATTCACTTTGAAATGGCTGGCAAGCTTAAGTGAGAGTTTTGTGGTGCTGAGATGAAAAAGAGACACCCATTTTAGATTTTCTATGTACTGTATTATTTAAGCATTTTTGACTTACGACCATTTCGACTTACGACCTGGATTTGGGTCCCTGACCCCGTCGTAAGTCGGGGAGGAGCTGTATACACAAATTACAGTGGAATTGAAAAACATAAGTATAATGGGGGAACAGTACAACTTGGGTTGTACAGTAATAAGGTTGAACAAGAGGACAGAGCTGTCAGGATTATGTCTAGTTGGCAATCATGTTTATTGCAATGGTAGTTACTTATCTATCTACATGATAATTTCCGATAAAACTGTTTTGATGGTACTGTACAATAAAAGCAGGTACCCTGTACAGTCAGTTTTGCTATAACGCGATAGTTGTGTTCTTGCAAAACCTCGCGTTCTACAAATTCGCGCAATAGAAATAACAGGGCTTATGGAGAAAATAGGGTTAGGTGCAGATTACTTGTAATCAAAATTTTTATATTAGTTAGCGTAACACAAAGGATAGCACAGCCTAAATAAATGTTACATTCATATCTAATAATGAAATCCTACGTACAGTGGCTGCAAAAGAAATGTTGACATTGTGTTCACCTTGAGATTTGGAGGAGAATAAAAACTAAAAACATGACTTACATGACTTTTATTACAGTATTTACCTTACATTTAGTATTTGGTCATGTTGCCTTTCGTTTTCAATACCATCTGCAGTCGTTTATGCATTGATTGGGCGAGGCTGGCAAAGTAGGAGACATCCATGTTGACCCACAACTTTTTCAGCTCCTCCTGCAGGTTCTTAATGTTGCTGGGTCTGGCCTCTTGAATCTTGTTTTTCATCACGTTCCAAGCGTTTTTGATCGGGTTTAAGTTGGGGGAGTTACCAGGCCACTCTAACATATCAGTTTCATTGTCACTGAGGAACTTTGTGACTATTTTTGACTTGTGGCCAGGGGCACCATCATGCATGAAATGATGACATTGATGGATTGGCCAAAACGGTAGCATATGGTCTCTTAACACCTCGATATAATTAGTTCCCTTCATCGTGACATTCTTGGGAAGGAAGTACAGACCTCCCATGCCCTCACAACCACTAAAAGCACCCCACACCATCACACTATCTGGATGCTTCACTGTCTTGACGGTGTACTTTGGAGATTACCGCGACACATTCTTGGGCCGACGCACGATCTTCGAGGCACCCCTCACCAGCCTTAAGGTGCTTTCATCACTAAACATCACCTTCTTCCAGTCGTCTGATGTCCAGTGCTGGTATTTCTTGCAGAAATTAATCCTCTTCTTCTTCATAGCCTCGGTGAGAAGAGGCTTCTTAGCTGCGCGCCAAGTTGTTAAACGGAGGTCTTTCTGAAGACGATATTGTATGGTCCTGATTGCCACATGTTTGAGGAGGTCTGGGTGCTTTTTCTAAGTGTAGAAGCTGTTACAGCAGGATCAGACATCACTTCACACTTCAGGATGTTGTCTGTCCTTATTGAGGTCTTCCTAACTGCCCCAGATCCCACTTTCCTCTTCGGTATAGCTCCGGGTGGTAATGGTGCCGCCGCGTGTTTGAGGTTGTAAATGGCTTGCCTTGAAACTTTTAAGTCTGCAGCTACACATAGCACACACATCCCCAGTTCTAATTGGGTTAAAGCCCAAGCTTTTTCATGTAGTGTGAGCTTGTTTCGACCCATTCTGTTCAGTTTGGGTGGAGATATAGGCTCTCAAAGTTGGTGCATGTGTGGAGAATGGCGGGTGGCGGAGCTAGATATATTTGCACCTCTCTCTATCAGAGCGCAAGGCTCACTGATGCGAGTGGCCTTGGTGGCTGGTGGCTGGAGGTGCGTGGGAGGCGGTTACGTGATCACAAGCTCCTCGCACTTTTGTTAGCCCGGGAATGCAATTAAAATCTTTACGCTGCACGCCGTGTAAAGATTTCATTTACGCCCAAAATGTAAAGATTTCTTTTGCGGCACTGTACAGTAAATGTTACACTTTACCTTGAAAAAATATGAATATAACTTGGTCCCAGATCGCTTTTTCGTTTGATCTTCTATCCAAACACTTAGAAGCCATTCCATCTCCTCAAGTTCCTTTGGCCGTGATCTCACACTTTTGCTAGCACTCAAGGTTTTTCCAGCAATACAGCTTGCTTTAATCTTTGCTGCATTGTCTCTAATGGTGCGCAAAGTAGACTCCTTTATTCCCGTTGTACGCACAATATCACATGTTCTTTCCTTATTTTCAAAACGCTTGACAACATCAAGCTTTTCTTGTTATAGCCTTTCTTTTACGATCACCACCGGAAATGCGACCACCAGAACGCTTCACGGAGATATTCTTCTTTTCCATAGTCACAAAATTGTAGAAAAAGTAATAAAAAATCACTGAGGATGCCTAAAAACTTCCCACGTGTTTCAGACTGATTGTGTGGTGTAAACAGAGCACGCGAGTCTAAAACGCTACGTATTTTGTTTTTCTCTCTTATTTAAAATTTTGCAATTTACATATACTGTTCAGGTATACTGTATACATAAATATTACATAAATTATTTCTGCAATTCTTCACAAACAAAACACAAATCAATTGAACATGTGATGTCAAACGTGAACTGTAAACATTGCCTAACCCCGCACCAAGCCACAATGTACAGTACACTTTAAACGCTACGTATTTAGTTTTTCACTTTTATTTAAAATTTTACAATTTACATATATATATATATATATATATATATATATATATATATGTAAATTGTAATTTACATATTATTAATATTATGCTACAGCGCCCACAAAACATAAGAAACGTTTGAGTCCCCCAGTAGAGATGTCCGTTCTCTATCCACTTCAGGATGTCTTAGTCCTCCGTTTTCTTTTTGTGTACTCGCTCAGGGACTCAAGTATTTCTGTATATAACACAGGATGATAAGGGAATTTGAAATTATGAGTGAATGAATTTATTATACAGTGATCAATTAACATAGTTTTGATGTGTTTAAGTAATATTCAGGCGCCTTCAGCCTAGTAATGTTACGACATTCGTATCACTCGCTCTAAACCACGAATTCCACCCATACACAGAGAGAGAGAGAGGCCAAGTGCTCTGTTTACATCACACACACATAAATATTACATAAATTATTTCTGCAATTCTTCACAAACAAAACACATAAATCAATTGAACATGTGATGTCGAACGTGAACTGTAAACACTGTGTGTGATGTAAACAGGGCGCGGGTGTAAAACGCTACGTAATTTGTTTTTCTTTTTTATTTAAAATTTACAATTTACATATACTGTACAGGTATACTGTATACATAAATATTACATAAATTATTTCTGCAACTGTTCACAAACAAAACACATAACTCAATTGAACATGTGATGTCGAACATGAACTGTAAACACTGCATAACCCCGCGCCAAGCCACCGTTCGAGTGGAATCGCGTTAAAGCAAAAGCGTTCGCGTTTTACAAATATTGTTCCTCTATTCATCAATCGTGTTAGAGCCAATTCGCGTTGTCAAAACACGCATTATAGCAGAACTCACTGTACTGTAAATATAGTAGTTGTTACAAGAAATATTAATACTTAGACAATAGATCACACAGGAAAAAGGGAAACAATGGAGCACCTTAGCTTTCGTCTTTATTCAAGACATCTTCAGAGGCAACTGAGTTACAAGGACCGAGAGAGGCTTAAGTACACAGGGTGACCTTACTAAACATGAGGTCAGGTCATAAACACGACATCCACTAATCCGCACACCAACACCACCACCACACACAAAGGAGCTTAAAAGAAAGGGCGACGTAACTAGTCATGTTAAGTCAGGTCAAAAAATATGGGACCAACTAATCATCTATCCTACATCTAACTCAAAGAAAGCATTTTTAACCTTGGCCCACTGACAAATAAATTTGCGTAACATATTAGAGTTATGCATTACTAACAATGTGTTTAGAGCAAATGGGAAGTTTTACAAGCAAATATTTGGCATGAGCATGGGCAATTGTCTTTCTGCTCCTTTAGTCTGTATTTATATGGAGTTTTTTGAGGCTAGATTACTACCCAATAAAGGGGGACTTTATTCCTCCATGGTATAGATATGTAGATGATGTTCTTTGTCTTTGGCCTAGAAACAGAGACCCACTGGAATTTTTAGACAAGCTTAATGATCTTGTCCCTAGTATTACATTCAAAATTGAAAGATAAATAAATGGATCCCTTCCATTTCTTGATATGCTTATCATTAGAAATGGTCATAACTATAAATTTAAGGTGTACAGAAAGCCTACACAGGTAGAGTTTCATACATTTATTATCGAGTCACCATGAATCTACCACAATGTCAGTTTTTTTCTGCTATGTTTTTGAGGTGTTTGCGTATTTGTGACCCTGAATTTATTGATGAAGAACTGAAACACATTCAGTCCATTGCACAAAAACTTGGGTACCCTTCATTGTTTGCTGAGCATTACTCCACATTACAATACAATTTAAAAATATTTGTAGCATATGTATGAAAAATTGTCACATTTTGCTTAGTGTTTTGTTTTAAGCATTTCATAATTCACAAGAAGAGTATTACATGTAGCAAAAATCCAATTGCATCATTGAAAACCTCATAATTTTGTGCTTATAGTGGTTTATAGTGCTCAGTTTTGGCCTGTGAGTATTTTTGAAATTGGAAGTGGGGGAAGACATTTTTGGATTTTTACTTGGCATTTGAAGTAAAAAAAATTATATATATTTTTTACTTTGTATGAAAGACCAAGCTATTCTAAAGCCAAAAGTATCAAATTGATGTAGAAATAACAATTCCTTGGTCTAAATACTGGTGCTTGGAGAAGAGAAAAAAGAAAAAAAAATGAAATAAAATAATTTAAATAATTAAAAATAAAAAACTTCTCTGGGCATAAAGAGCACAATACACTGGAGTAAAAATAAAGATTTATCTTATGTAAGAGGGTAAAATCACTCTTCTTATTATTATTACAGTACAGTATTACATGTGAATACTGTATTTGAGACATTTGAGGAGCGGTTTAATGGAGGGTTTGGTATACCGTATAACGAATTCGTTCGGTATAGAGAAATAATACTTGAATCTAAAGAGCAGTTCAGTATACAGTACCTACCGTGAATTTCAGTATAGAGGGGTAATACTGTATTACAAGTGCTTTTAACAACATTTATATATCATATTCATGTACACACAGACTTAGTATAAAATAATGGATGATGCACACACGGATGACACCCTGGATGTACCCAAGAATGTCTGCTGGTAGTTTTTAAGTTGCCGGCATTTTTGCGGCTGAGACAGGGAGCCATTCATACCCCCAAGTACATGCTTTCTTAATAAAGTAACACCGCACGGACTTGAGGGTAGACTGTCACATTTTTAATAAATTTGTTTCTGATTTGTGAGAGTATTTTCCCATTATTATTTATTTATATGTATTTTGTGTGTGTGTGTGTCTACCTACACATATATACAATGCAGGTAAAAGAAATAATTGTCCTAAGGGCAAACACATAAAGGGAATATACATTTCTTTGTCCTGTAAAGTGCCCAGTTTGCATCAAGATGTAAATCTTGATCAAACTGGGCACCATAGTTGCAAAAAAATATTTCCCACTCATATAGCAAAATCAAGTGATGCCAACAGAAGAGATTTTTAGCTTTCTGCTGTTTGTAAGAGTGTGCGCAATATTTTTTAAAGCGCCCAACCCGTAAATACTTCACACCTAGTGCACAGATATATAAATGCTGTCACATAAATGGGACATGTGCAATGAGAGGGTTAATTCTGAAGTGATATGATCCTACCATTCTCAAGATACTGAATGAATAAAATATACTAAAGAAGGAAAGAACGAAGAAAAAAGCAAATCCATCAAGGCTCCCAGGGAGACTTAATGGATGGTATATGGAGGTGGGAGTCTTCTAATTTTTTTTTCTTCTTTCTTTCAACCTTTTTGCAGCTATTCGTTCTTTCAACCTTTTTGCAGCTATTCTTTCTTTCAACATTTTTGCAGCTATTAATTTCAACCTTTTTGCAGCTATTGTCAAGCTTTACAACATTATAGAAAAGCTCCTCCTCAGTTGTTTCACATACTAGGCAGCCAAGACAGATGAGCCACTTAAAGCTACAGGGTAAATCACTGAAAGTGCTTTTCCACTTACTAGTACCTCGAGCAAATTCTACCTTCCAAACATGTTTCAAAGGTTGAGGAATAATCACAACATCTTTTGTTTCTCTTGATCTTTTCCTTTTTTTCCCTAGCAATGATGAATCACCAAGACTAATGTCTCTGGCATTCTTTGAGTGATCTTTACATTTACTTGCACTGTTATTTTCACTGTTATTTTTAATAACTTTTTCTGGCTGGATAATAATATTTGAATTACACTTCTGCAACTTCCTTTGTAGACCACATATATTATCAGTCCAATCTAGGTAGTGATCAGAGAAAGACTGTTTTGTAAGATCCTCTGCAACCTGTGGAGAGAGTGAAATTTTAGCCAAGTATAGCAAATCTAATTTGTATCTGAACAAATGAAATTACTGAGTTCATTTGTACAAATAAAGGTTAAGTCCAAAGTAGCAGAGAACCCTGAAAACAAAAATAAAAGCAATGTGTTACTTCAATGTTTAAAATTTGAGTCAATCAGTAGACATTTGGGTTATTTTTAGTGTATGCGGGAGCAGGAGCCGTGCAGGGGGGGGGGGAACCTGACCATCTGGGGGGTGTAGAAAAGCCCCTGAAATGGACATGAAGCAGTTGTATTGAGGACTCACCACCACCACTACTACCATAATGTTCTTTCACCATTGTGACCACCACCACCGCCATGATCCTCATTTTGAACGATTGTTACCTCTACTATTCACCAGCACCACTATCTTTAGTATCACCACCATCTTGATCATCACCACCATCTCGAGCATCACCATCACCACCATCTTGAGCACCACCACTAATCACCACCATCATATACAATACCAGAGCCATGCTCCATCATAATCCCCGGTCTCAGACGTTCAGGGTAAACAATTGGAAAATTTTCTGATGTTATATTGTAGTGTGTGTGTGTGCTTCCTCTCGCTTTCAGCTACCGCCGCTGGCTAGCCCTCGTGGCCAACAGGGAAGCAACTTGCATACGTCTTCCCCTGCCAGTACATAGCCCTTCATCATCAAGAATCCTGCTGTGCCTCCTCATGGCAACACACGGTAACTGGGTGCCTTGTTGGCCCAGGCTACACCAGCAGTGGATCTCAGAGTAGCAGTGGGCCCCAGAGACGGGCGCATAGGCCCACTGGCATGTGGACACGAACTGGCATCTACCAACCGCTGCCTTGCGGATTAACCTTGGTAGGTATAAGGCTACGGGAGTAGACTCGAACGAAAAATCTGCAGTGGAGCCACAGACCCCGACTTACGACTGCTACGACTTACGACCGTCGGGACTTACGACCGCCGCAGATTTTTTATTATTATTATTATTATTTTTATTTTTATTTTTTCAAATGACACACGCATTTTCTATACCGAAACGTTTCCAGTTAATGTAGTCTCCATGTATAATTAGAAAATTATGGGGGCCCCATGTGCATTCAGCTGACTACATTAAAGGTAAGTGCTGTCACACTGTAACCATTCCTTATTATTTATTACTTTCACTGTACTGTATCCATTCCTCATTATTTATTACTTTTACTATACTGTATTTCATTGTAGATTATTTATTTAAAAAAAAAATTTTTTTTTTTTTTATCTATGTCGGACTTACGACCTGGATTTGGGTCCCTAACCCCGTCGTAAAGTCATATATATATATATATATATATATATATATATATATATATATATATATATATATATATATATATACACACACACACACACATTGGGGGTATGCTATAAATCTAATGGATTCTCATTTAATATTCCTATAATCTAACGGTTTTACTTATAATATATATATATATATATATATATATATATATATATATATATATATATATATATATATATATATATATATATATATATATATATATATATATATATATATATATATATATATATATATATATATATATATATATATATATATATATATAATATATATATATATATATATATATAATATATATATATATATATATATATATATATATATATATATATATATATATATATATAGTCAACCCTCACTTTACGCGGTTAATTCAACCCACAGGGTACCGCGGAAAGTGAGAAACGCGTAAAGTGAACAACATAACATATGGGATTAATTGAAATAGAGACTGGGCCGACCCCCAAACTCCACTTTTTCAGACACAATACCTACGTTGTAGTAAAAATAACTTCATAATTTTATGATGGTATGCACACACAATTAATAATTTAGAGAAAAATCAGTAATATTAGGTTTTTTAACACTTACATTAGTAGAAAAGATGGCTGGGCACACGGGGATGGGGGGTTGGTTCCGAGGCAGCGGGCAGATTATTGGCCCTCACCTGTATCACTTGTATCACTATCCACCACAGAGGCTTGCAGGGCCTCTTTGTCAAACCCCTCAAAGTCCATATAAGTCTATATCTTCACTATAATTATCACTATCACTGACTTGGGCTGGCTGTGGTGGGTGGCGAGTGAAGAACTCGGTAATGTTTTGATGACTGGGCGACCTTGTGCGCACCCTGCTTGCGCCGCTTACACAACATGGCAGATGGCGGGAGAGGGCGGGAGGTTTTGATCCAAAAATGGCGCGGCTCGCCAGCCGCTCTCCGCGTAAAGGGGTACACGCACCGCGGAATGTGAGCATTCCGGTTTCGGCAGGGTTCCGTGTAAACGTGGAAACGCGGAATGTGGGACCGCGTAAAGCGAGGGTTGACTGTATATATATATACCTATATTATTATTATTTTTTTTTTCACATTCTGTATAAATGATATTGTGCATGTAACAGTAAAAAAAAAATAGAAGAAAATTATGTACAGTATAGTATCTACCTACCAAAAAATTTAAAAATTAATAATAATGAAGCTCACAGCATGACCTGATAGGGGGAGGCTGAGATCCCTGATGCAGCATCTGCCTCCTGCTCCCCCTCCCACAATGAGTGCACTAACTCCTGCAGATGTAACAAATAATAAATAGCATAAAACTTCCATAACAAAAATTTAAACATTAATAGATAAAACTTAAAGCTTGTGTAGAAAGCTGGCTTCCTCAATGAAGGAGTGGATGTACCTTCCCATGCTACCCACTCCCTCCCCCAGCACCAAAGAGAGACAGTAAGACCTGGCCCACCCCAGCACTGGGAGAAGTGCTTATGATGAAGATCTCTAAGACTGGGGCACTCCACCAGGAGGTGTCAAACAGTCAATGGGAGCAGGCAGTCATTACAATGGGGAGAGGGTGACCGGTGCCCTCTCCATTCAAAAATCATGAGTCAGTCATGTGTGGCCAATGCAGAGGCGGGCCAAAGCAGTCTCCCGGCGGCACGACAGTCCCTGATATCCTTGGATGGAAGCTCTTATTACTGGCTTCATATCAGAGGGGAATGACTTGCTACAGGGCGAGAAGCAGCTACTTTTGCCATAGCATCAGCACACTCATTTCCCATCTTCCCCACATGGACTGGAAACCAGCAAAACCTGACTTTCCGGCCCTGACACTGGACGAGAAACAGCCACTGTAAAATAGCTGGGGTAAAGACACCAAACTAATACGCAGATACTCAAAATTCAATGTCGTGGTTGGTGAAATGGTATATTGTACAAAGTAAAAACCATGGATACCTGGAATCTGCGGATGGGAAATCCGCAATTAAAAGGGTCTACTGTAATGACTTTACACAACATTATGTGGAGCCTTGATATCGAAATAGTATTAACGTAATAATGAAACAATGTTAATTGGGACAACATTAGGCGAGGACTTACTGAAATCAATAGAAACTACTGTATTTTTTTTTATGATGATGATAATAAAGATTTTGGGAATTCTGTGTGACAGTGATGAGTGTGCAATAATCACATTTCAGCAAGCGTGTCAAAGTTTTAAAAACGTAAAAAAGCATCTACTGTATTAAGATATAAAAAACAGTAATATTTTCACCTTTTCCACATGTTTCTGTATCTTAAAAGATTAGCCTGACACATTAAGCTACATATCAATATCAGAACAAATCACAAATAGATGAAACTTGCTAACCCAGAAACAGTAAATATCAATGGTTTACTATATACATACTTATATCACGCAATTTCTTTTATTTTGCGAGCGTTCTCAGTCCCTATCCTGCAAAATAACCTGAAATGGTAACAAAATGTCTTACCTTGACCATTTCTTGAATACTGTTATCACCTCTATGTTGATCAAGGAACTGCTCAATAATACTCATAAATGGCTGTTGTGTTGCCTTGAATGCAGAAGGTGCATTTAAAATCTTATCAATTGATTGATTTTGGTTGTAAAGTAATTTCCATGTTACTGACTGCCTTATTTTATCTGAAATAAAGAAAAAATTAACATTTCAGATTATGGAAAAAAATTTCCGAAATCCTATTTCTAGCCACGCCCACTGTCAGAAGCCTCCTCTTAATGCACAAGCAGTTGTGACAAGGTCAAAAACTCTAGACAACCTAACAGGCAGCTGGTAAGGCTCATTGTATGATCACCCATCCCTCCCCATTGTAATTATTTCCCTTAAAAGAAAAGATTCGAAGAAAAGATTGCCTCTTGGCAGGTTTACAAACTCAGCTGTGTCACCCTAAACAGTACATGCATTGCAAACTTTATGACTGCCATATCAATTTCCACAACAACTTGAATATACTGTATAACACAGAATTACATTTCCAGCTTATTGCCCATAAAGAATGGAGGAGGGTGTTTCAGATATTTGGTTATGGGTTAAACTAGAAGGGAAGATTTCAGGACCAATTCTACATTTTTAGCATAATTCCCTCTGCCATGCAGTCCCATAACAAGAACCAACAAAAATGTGAGAGGTCTTATCAACTCCTAAAGTACTAAGCCCTATGATCAACGTGTTCCCAGTAGGGCACCAACCCCATCGATCAATGTGGGGCGTGTTCTGTTTTAGCTTTCAAATTGTGTGCCTTTATTTTGCTGGGAATACAAAGCCTTGTGGCTACTACAGTAATTTCTTGACTGCGATGTTGTGTAGATGCTGCTCTACCTCCGCATGCTGTTCCCCCCCACCTCTTCCCTTACCTGTCCATCTCCTCTGCTCATTTACCAGCATTATACTGTGTTGTACTGTACAGTAGAAAGTCGATAAAAGATGAGATACGTTCCAAGAGAGGTCGCTTTAAACAGAATTCACACTAAATTGAAGTGTTGTTTCAATGGAATAAATTAGTTTGGTACTTGAGAGAAACACAAAATACTAAAAAGACTCAGAATCTACCCAGATGCACCTTAGCTCATCTCCTAGAATAAACAAAACATTGTTTTTTGTAGTAGTATTATGCTAAAACAAACACTCATAAATCAACACAGCTAATATTACAGGACGAAAAGTGGTCTGCATACTAGCGATCAGCTGACGTGAGAGGGTGGTTGCGCTGGCGCCGCGCTCCACCCGCCTCTCGCTTGACTCACCAAGCACTTCCACTTTCCTCTCAACTTAGTTTTTCATTACTTAATACTGGCCCTCCCCTTGCCCCAACTGAGAATCTACCCAGATGTACCTCAGCCCATCTCCCAGAATAAACAAATACTCATAAATTAACACAGCTAATATTGTGGGATGCTAAATGGTCTGTTTACTAGCGATCAGCTGATGTGAGAGGGTGGCCACGCATCACCTGCCTCTCGTCCGACTCACCAAGCACTTTCACTTTCCTCTCAACTTAATTTTTAATTACTTTATGCTATCTAAAATAGATTTTCACTCAACTTTAGTTAGGCAATGCATCTTCTGAAGATGCAGAGCCTGACTCGACCAGCTCATTATCCACATCACTGTCCAAATTGGAGCCCTAAACTTTTGAAGTGCCATTTCCTCACTGAAGTGCTTCCAGCACCTTGATTTTCTGCTCCAGTGTAATTGCTTGCCTTGATTTCTTGGTCTTTGGGGTAGTTAATGATGTAGTAGCTGGCCTCTTGGACATCGTTTCGATGGTTGATGCACGTGGTAGAAGGATATAGTGTCACAGAATATGTCCGTTCACTAGAGCGTCAGTGAGAGAACTGAGGATACATGAGGGTGTGGGAGGGTGGCGGGAAGCCATGTAGCGTGCCCAGAGACGTGTCTGGCGGTAAACATTAGGCGCAAAATTTAAAATAGTGTGCATTTCCATATGATGTGCCAGAATGACTCGCTTAAAATAGGAAAGATTCACTTTAAATTAATACAGTGTCCTTAATTGTGGGTGCCGCTTAAATCAATAATTTTAAATTGAAGCGCTTTAAATCAATGCTCTACTGTACTATACAGGTGCTCCTCTACTTAAGAATGTTCAACTTACAAACTTTCAGATACAAACATCATCACTGAGGGGGGTTACCTGCCAGAACAGGTGTTTAATGTGGATGAAACTGGATTATTTTGAAGAAAATTCCTGAGAGAACAAACATTACCTAAGAGGAGAAGAGTGAGCCAGGTTTTAAGGCTGTATTAAAGGGTATAGCTGTACTAAATATCCATAATCTTTTATTTTTTTATAATATGTTTGGTATCTACAAGAGTAAAGTTGGACTTACAAACAAGCCTCAGGAACGTAACTCGTTCGTAAGTAGAGGAGCACCAGTACAGGTATATTGTACATTTTATGTTGTTTTTGTGTTTTCCATATTCCTATATTCTTTTACCATTGGGGTGGTACTGGGGTGAACTAGTCCACTACTGGTATGTACAGGTATTTTTATTTAAACACTCTAGAATCTATTTTGTACTTATGGGAAAGTTAAAAAATTACTTTTTTTTTTGTCTGATGTGTTGCCAGAAAGGGTGAAGTTGTCCATCTCTGATAGTCCACTACTCCACTTAGGTGGCCTATATAGGACTATCTCTTGCATTTCCACACTCCATATACTATTTTCTATGAATTCGGAGTGCCAAAAATTAAAAAAAAAAATTCTTTGAATACTGTATACAGCGGGGCCTCTCATTTTGCACGGGTATATCGTACTGGTATACGTCCATACAAGCAATGCCCTTTAACATGTGTTAAAAATCACTATATTGTAATGGGCTCAACAGACCTTTACTCTAGGAAGGCTTTGAGTAACCAACTTAACCTTCCAAAAATTACACAATGTCACTACAAACTGCATTTACATTATTAAATAAATATCTTAAGAAAGCCCAGGAAGTTAATTTTGCGATACTCCACCGAATAATGGAGGTGTGGGAAGCTCTGGGAGACAATGGGGGTCCGAGGCAGGGAATGAAGACTAGTCAGACTCAAAGCCTTCAAAATCAACTGCAGACACTCGTAAAGCGACTTCAGCTTCATCACCAATCTCCAGAGTGGCAGGGTCATCGTCACTGGATTCTCCTTGAATTGCTGAGGCGTAAAATAGGCAGTGATGATAGCTTGGTTTGGGTGCTTTAACTCCTGGTAACATTGCCTGTAGGGTTCCACCAAACTGTACACTGAGTTCATGACTGTGTTGCATGCTGAGCTCAGCACTCATTAAAGCATCCTTGAGTTCTTCAACATTGCTGAGAGCTTGCATCACCTACTGCTGAGTCATGCCTCCCTCAGTCTGCTCTGATTTCATATGTTGCTTTATTTTGAAGTCAAATTACATATCGTATTTTGTTCTATGATTTACTACTGTATGTTATATTATATATGATGAAACATAATACACCATAATAGGCTGATCATATGAGAATATAATATTGATTAAATAAAGACAAACTGGTGAATGAGGCAACAGCCAGGTGCATTCACTCGGTTACAAGGGGGAAAGGACAAGTGTTGAAGTGATAAAAAGTAGTGTCTTAAGAATTCACTACTTACTCTATTCCTCACTGGTTGATTGTCTAACCTAACTATGGTACTGGAGCATATCTTCATCATCTTTAGTATAAAAACATTAAATATGTCTTTAATATTTCCTTTTTTAGAGAAGCATTAACTCCTAGGCTTCGGGTCATGTTCTGTGACATGTGTCTGTAGAATTTTGGGTCATGTCACATGAGATTTTGATCTTTTGTGGGCCTGTTTGAATAAAAAGAGCAGGCCTGGCTAGACGATGTTGACAAGCAGGTATTTATCTTTCAATCACTCACACATGACAGCCTCCCAGTTTCATCTCAGTAGCTTCTAAGCTTTTGTAATGTAGGAATCTCAACCTTAGTTTAGACTCGTTTCACCACACATTTCTACCCCCCACCCCCAGGCACAAGACTAATATTGTGATCAATTACTGGAGTAGTAATAATGATTGTTAATAGTGTAAATAGTAATAATGTAATAAAACAAGTGTCCTGTACATCACAATGCCTACAAATTAGTGTTGTTTACCTCATACTATTGTGTTATGCACACACACCATCTCACAAACATTCATGACTTTTCCAAGCCCCAGTGTTGCTAACCTGTGGTAAGGACATATATCTATTTCCTGTTTATATCATGCACGACCAGTTTGTAAGACTAGATTTACTTTTTATTTGTTTTTAAATGTTCCCGAATATACCTGCATGGGGGGGGGGGGGTCCGACCATAGCCCGAAGCCCAGGGGTTAAATACTTTTATTAAAGTACTATATTTTTCATTAAATAAGGATTTAAAGGTTTAATAAATAAATAGCAAATGAAGACAGTCGATATGCTGATGAAAACACAGTTTTCCCCGCTGTCAATAAATGTAAACACGAGCGGTGCATCATCTGCCAATCACGTGGATACTGTACTGCATTATCACATGCTGTGACTCAGTTACTCTCAAGATATTATGGATGAATAACAATACATTGTGTATAATATAATAAACATATTACTAAATATGATCTATGAAGTAGTTAAGAGAAATTATTACTAGTTAAAACATATAGAATTAACGAATATCTCATGAAAAGAATTAAGTTAATGAATAAAACTGTACTTCAAGTTATGATGATGTGCAATTACAATGTGACCGATCATGGATGAGATTTACTTGACCTTTTCTACTCATCCACAACAGATCCACATCATCTACAATAAATATCCACATCATCTCTACTAAACATCCACATCATCTCCACTACAGATCCACTTCATCTCACACTACACAACCTGAGAGGTCATACATCGGAACTTGAAAACCTTCAAGAACCTTCAGGAAGCTTTTAGAACCTTTGGGGAGACTTGCAGTTGTCCAAACTCGCCCGTCCATTTTGCATATTGTCCGAGGCCCACCCCTCGTCCGCAAATTGCAGGGATCCGAGATGGTGCTAGTTTAATGTGTCAGAAAAACTGACATAGTACACAGTATCAATATACAAAAAATTTTCTTACCTGGCTTCATAATAGTCTGAGGATTTCTCCAGACTCCTTCAGTCCAGTAAAATCTTGAGATCTGTGAAGAATCCATTCTGAACAACTGATCCCATTTCTGGCAATGCAGTGCACACACAGGATCTACTTGACTGCAGAACCACAACACTCGGTTGATGTACCTAATATACAAAAGTCATGTAAGAAATATACTTTTTTATAATCCCTTACTGGAGCCTTCAGCCAGAATGGGGGGAGAAATATTTACTCTATCTAATTCACCTATTGGCCACCCAAGCTAGATGGAAGAAGGCTATTTTGAAGCCTAGTACTGTTCTCAATTCCACAGCTTGAACTAGTAGTCTATTCCATAGGTCTAGCACCCTGTGTGAGAAGTATTCTCATATTTTTCCTGCATAATATCTTGGGAGTGTGAAGTTATTTCCACCATGTTGGTGGTGCATGACATAAAAAAAATGGCCTGGGTTCATGTTTTCCACCCCTTTCAAGGTTTTGAATGTCTCTATGAGATCTACCCTATTGTGTCTTGTCTGAATAATTGTTAGTCCTAGGTCCTCAGTCTACTTCGATAATCAAGGTGATACAGTTTCTAAGAATACTATATCTTTCTGTAGGTAGGGATTCCATGCCTCTACACACTAATCCAGATTAGGACATAGAAGAGACTTACAGTATATGGGGCTCGAGACTTCTGACTTATGGGTAACCTCGCCCTAGGTGTTTTCATCCAATATTTTACTGAATAATCATTTCCAAAAACAAAATTATAGTTAACAGTATACACTTACACTGCACTTACTTTTATTATAGCAGATGAATCTTTAGGTGGAGGACAATGGGGGCCTTGTTATACTGTACTTCAAATACCTATATGCACACTTATATTTAATTACACTTTACATTTAACTCCACTTAAATCTAGCTGATGTCATTAAAAGTACTCCACTTCAGCCCAAATTCCTCACAGATAACTGTCATGGAGACCCCAGCATCAATTCTGGCTCATATCTTTAGTTTCTCTTCAACTAGTAATTCTGAGCACAATTCTTTTTCTCCAAGTGGTTCTCAGTGTTACTGTTTTGTCTTTATATTAAGTCCTCGCTTAATGTTGTCCCAGACAAGGTCACCTTCTTATTGCTACTCTTTAGATACCCCTGATTCCGACAATGTTATAACCCCACATCTCTTGTGGAGCATCAAAGCGTTCCCAAGCATCTTCTCAGTCTTTCTTAAGCTTCTACAGTGTATGGACGTGTTTGAGTGTTTTTCCTGCAAATACTGTACTGTAACCCATCAAAATGGCTTCCAAGCACCCATCAAGTGGTAGTGATGCCAGTGTTGTAAAGAAGAAATGCAAGACTAGAAGTCTTGCTATGAAAATGGAGGCTTTAAACCATTTTGACACTGGTGTAGCATTAGGCCTAACCTCAACAACAGTGTGTAGTATCCGGACCATCACAAACAAGATTAAAGCCCATCTGTGGGCACAATACAAAGTTATTGTTTTATCTTATTAAATAAACATTAATTTAGTTTTTATTTATCTTTGTGGATGTATAAATATATATTTCCGATAAAACCTCCATTAAATTTATATACTGTAGATTATGTAATGTATTTTATGGGGCGAAAGGAGGCTGGGGAACGAAACTAGCACATTTTATCTATTTCTTATGGGAAAATTTTATTTTGTTAACGTTGTGTTTACAAGAAAGTAACAACTACATTAAAGCGAGGACTTTCTGTACTTGCTTTAGAGGCCTTAATAATACACTAGGTAAGTGAAAAAAAAAAAAAGTTTGTGTGGTGGAACAGTAGTCACAACAAACGTGAGATATGACTCTTCTCCCAACTACTGCAGACATTACCCCCCCAAGCCGAAGCTTGTCCAACTTATAGGAGTGTCTGACCTAGAGGGTCCTGTGCACGAGATTTTCTCAGAAGTAGTGTCATGAATCTGACTTTGCATTAGCATTCTCACTCTCCCAGCAATGATGAACAAGTTTTGAAAATTTTAAAATTTCAAAAGGAGTAAAAACCTGACAAAAAAAATCTTTTAACATCATTCTTTCCTTCCAGTCATTCATACACTTTTATATATTAATAAATTTATTAACTATAAACTGGGAAGCAGAAGAACAGAAGACCTTAAAACATACACTAGCCCCCTTTCTTAAGAGGCATGATGGCAACCAATAAATACTAGTACCCATCACTGTAAAATAATTCTTAACATTTACACAGAAGTTTCATATACAGTACTGTAATTTGCCTTACAAATGACAATGGTGTACATTACTTTATTCTGTCAGCTTCAGATCTTCTTTAATATAGTATACAATACAGTATAGGGGGTCCCTGGGTTACGAACGAGTTCCGTTCCTGAGGACGTTCTTAAGTTGGATTTGTATGTAAGTCGGAACACATGCTATGTGCATACCGTACTTACAGAACAATGTTTAAAATCCCACTCTATCATAGCCTAGGTCCTTATATACATCTGAAATCACTTACTGTATTTGCCGGCGTATAAGACACATTTTTTTTCCAATGTATCCCAAATTACCCTGGGTCTAATGCACCGGTATTACAGATGGGAGGCCCTAGCTAGGGAGTCTGGGACGAGCAGTAGTCCACTAAGCACAAAAATTGTGTTACTAATAGTATTACTAATAATAAAATACAGTTAACCCTCACTTTACGCGGTTAATGTAACCCGCAGGGTCCCGCGTAAAGTGAATAACATAACATATGGGAATAATTGAAATAGAATCCGGGCCGACCCCCAAACTCCACTTTTTGACGACACACAACTATGTTGTAGTAAAAATTTTATCTTAACTTTATGATGGTATGAAAAAACAGGTAATATAGAAGAGGTTAGGTTAGGAAAAATAAAGGTTAACATAGGAAAAATAAAGGTTAGGTTAGAAAAACTAAAAGTTATGTGGAACACTTACGTTAGTAGAAGAGATGGGTCGGCATACGGGGATGGAGGCTGGTTCCGAGGCAGAGGGCAGATTACTGGCCCTCAGGTGAATCACCATTACTAGGTGAATCACCATCACTGTCACTTACAGTTGTCAGGGCTTCCCTGACAAATCCCTCAGTCATCTTCACTGTCACTATCACTGGCTTGGGCTGGCTGTGGTGGGTTGCGGGCGAAGAACTCGGTTATGCTTTTTTGACGGCTGGTGTTTATGTTGTCTTGATACACCGTGATGTACGGCTCCATAGCCTGCACCAGCCGGGTATGGAAGACTTCATAGCGGTCATCGTCATTGTCGCGGGAAAGGAAGGACTTCATTTTCTCTGCACACTCCATGGCACCCTTAATATCACTATGAGTTAAACTGTGTTCTTCGGAGAATGACGCACCTTCTTCCTCCTCTTCACTGACGTGATCTTCTTCCAACATCTCGTCGGCAGTCACTTCAGGATCTCTGATCACCTCCAGGATGTCGTCGTTGGTGGTCTCGGAGAAGCCTGGAACTGTAACAGTCTGCGCAGCTTCTCTGGCAATGTCCACTGCTACTGCAACAGTCTGAACCTCACCAGTCACAGATTGACTCCTCCTCTCACCTGGTATTCCATGCAACACATGTCTCCATGCGTGACGAATTGTAGCAATAGACAGCTGATCCCATGACTCCACCAAGAAGTCCACAGCTTTCTTGATGTTAAATACTCTCCAGAATTGTTTGAACAGTATTTTTTGCTGTGCCAACTGTTGATCCTCATCTTCTTCGCTCTTGCTATCGGTGGTGGTGTCACTCAGGTTACGCAACTCTTCCCTGGTGTTGGTGTAGTCGTTCAGGAGTTTGAATTTTTTTGTTGAGAATGCAGCTTTTACATTCCAGATTAACTCTTGGTCCATGGGCTGTAATATAGACGTAGTGTTGGGAGGAAGGAAGACCACTTTTATGTTGGGGTGATGATCTAACAGTAGGGGCGAGTGTCCTGGTGCGTTGTCCAGCAGCAACAAAATATTGAATGGCACATTCTGTCGCTCACAGAATTTCTTTACATAGGGAACAAAACAGTCATCAAACCAGGAGAGGGACAGTGTAGAGAACATCCACGCCTTACGTGCGGTCAGCCAGTGGACATTTAGCTTGGTCATGTCCATGGTTTTGTAGGCGTGCGGCTTGCGTGCTGTGTGGATCACCGATAACTTGAGCTTACAGGTACCGGAGGCATTGGTAGTAAACAGGACGGTGATGCGTTCCTTCTGCATCTTCCGGCCCCGAATCCTGCTGGCATTCTTTACAACGAAGGACTTGGAAGGTAGCTTTTTCCAGAAAAGACCAGATTCGTCCATGTTAAACACCTGGTCGTCACTGTACTGTCCTTCCTCCATAATCTCCCGTAAAAACGGAGGAAATTCCCTAGCCGCAGCACACTCAGCACTCGCTTCTTCACCACCAATGTTTATATTGGTGATCTTGTTCCGGATCTTAAACCTCTGTAACCACCTAGAGGAAGCATTAAAGGGTTTGGGCTCTGTAATTCCCATCTTTCGTGCCACTGCCATGTACAGTTCACGTGCGTAGTCCTTAACAGAGCGCGTGTCGACCGCCATGTTTCGTCGCGCCTGACGCACCAAGTACCTCACAAATAATTTTTCTGTCTTGAGAAGCACCTGGTTGTGAAAATACTTGATCATAGAAGCACTTGTAGACTTTGTGATCTTCATGTGCTCCTTTATCTTGGCTGCATCCTTCTTTATTGTTCGAATCGTAGATTCATTCACACCATGCTGGCGCGCCAAATCAACCTGCCTTGTTCCTTTCTCCAACTCTTGGATGATGGTATACTTCACCTCGTAGCTTAAGGAACGTCGTGTCTTCTTTGGCTTAGTGCCGCTGGGTCCAGGTAAGGAAAGGTTTCTCTCTGGGGGTGGTGGTCCGGCGGAAGCCATTTTACTGAACAATGGATGCACGATTACACGGTGTGGCCTTGAGGGATGAAACTGCCGCGGCTAGGTCAAGCGTCGTCTTTCCCCCCTCCCTCCCTCCCCCGGGTGGACACATCATAATACTTTAAGCCAATTACAGCTAGCAGCAGAGGGGGGTAGGGATGCATGGCCAATCACAGTCCGATACGTCATATGACGTCAGTGATAACCCAACAAAGACACACACTGCGCAACCTTACCGTGCGGCTTGCCCAAGCGGAGGGAGGAGGAGGGAGAGGCGAGGAGCACAGACAGGCAGGCGGGCGGGTGGGGCGAATCTAAAAATAGCGTCGCGCCGGACACTCTCCGCGTAATGGGGTTCACGTACCGCGTAATGTGAGCACGTTAGGTTCTGGCAAGGCACCGCGTAAACGTGGAAACGCGGAATGTGGGACCGCGTAAAGTGAGGGTTAACTGTACTGAAAAACAAGCCAAATTATCACAAACTTGCAGCAAATTTGCTGAAGATGTAAATAATGGCTTAACGGCAGAGAGAAGCTCACAACATCTCACTGTACCTCCTTCCCCAGCATACGTAACCAACACCAGATATACGTCTTACATTATTTAACGACTGTGTTACCTTAAAGAAACATTTGTTTATTATCTGAATGAAAAATGCCCCTAGAAAGATTAAAGAAATGTTAACAGGAAGTTCAGCCGCTAGTCAGCCATTTGCAATGAGTCGATGACGCCAAAACAATAGCGATGGTGCTCCACTCTGGTGGCCAATCATGGCAACAAAAAACATCACGGATAAAATTACGAGTTTCACATCCTGTCGGTAATTCTCTTGACCAAAATATAAACAAGCCAACACAGCTACTGTAAACGCCTTAGTTAAGGACGTTCAGGTTACGGGTAAGTCGAAGGGAATGATTGATACCCGTCTTTTGACGCATTCAATATTTTTTGATGTGGTCAAAACCTGCAGAGGAGAAGGCGTTCATAATATTACAAAGTGATCCATCTGATATATAATTAGTTAGTCTCACACAATTTTATCTTAATTACAATTTATTAAACATACTGACATAACACGAAGTTCATAACTCCATTAATCTCAGCTTCGCTTCATTCTGCATTGTCTTATTACTCCAGGTTAGGCAGAAACGAGTAGGCGTAATTAGTCAACAATATTTCAGTACCGAGGGGTATGTCATCACTTAGGCTGTACTTACAAGTGCGGGTCAATGCATATCAGTATGGTGTTCCAAGAGAAAACAGTATTGCGTAAATCGTCCCAGCACAAATTCTCGGACAGGAGAAGGTTGGTCTTCACAGCATCATTAGAGAGGGCGATCTGTCTCATGGAGGGGCGGGCAGCCACCGCCACCAGTCTAAGACAGTCCACTCAGCAGAACCAGGACTTGTCTGTAAACACTTCTACATCTGGCGAGGTCACAGGTCGAAAGATTTAATGGCATCACACGCCAGCACTGTAGCTGAAGCCAGCGGCGATAACACTACTTTAAAATCACTTTCAATAATTGTATGATGAAACATACAAAAAAAATCCACAAAATATTCTTGTAAAATAGTGGTGCGTCTTATGCGGTGGTGCGTCTTATATGCCGACAAATATGGTATATTACCCCCCCCCCTCAAAAAAAAGAAGAAAAAAAAAGAAATAGAATGACAAAATGCAGTACAAGAAAGTAAAAAATACGTCATCCGGTAAATAAAATACTGTAAATTTCAAGTTTCACCCTGTTCATATCGGCAGGCGTACGTAAGTCGGGGACCTCCTGTACTTATATAAAATCATGAAAAGATCTAAATACAGAAGCTATTATACCTTTCCCACTCATCCCATGAAAAAAGTGGTGATATGATGTTGTGAGGCTGAAATTCTGCATTAATCCTGGCTGCAGCGCGAGAAAGTTGAAATTCTTGATTGTCGTCAATGCCACAATTCAACTTCAGTACCACAATAATAGATGCCATAGCCAACACCTCAATGGTTGGTATATTAACTCCACTTGGCTTTAGGAATGTTCCATCACATTCTAATACTTCTTGAGCTAGTTCTTTTATTGACTCTGAAAACAAAGTACTATATTACTCTTCTTTAAAAAAGCATTAAAACTCATTTCACATAATTGTTAAACAACACAACATACATATATTGTTTCTCACTTTTGATCTTTTTTTAATTTTTGTATTTTTTATGGCTCTCTATCATTATGATTATTATTATTATTATTATTATTATTATTATTATTATTATTATTATTATTTTATTTTCAATTTTGTATTTTTTATTATAAATTTTATTTACTACGAATTATCATTATTAATATTATTATTATTATTATTATTATTATTATTATTATTATTATTATTATTATTATTATTATTATTATTATTACATTTTTGCCCCCCAGGCCCCGATGTGGGTCAGTGACCTGTGACCGGGTAAGCTAGAAGAAAAAATATATTAATAATATCTCCTTTAAGTGATAATAGAACAGAAAATGGTACATAACAGTAAAATTATTCAAAGCATTAAACATGACACTATCTAACTGATAATGTCAATGAAATGAAAATAAAGCACAGTACGTATACTCATATGTGTTAATACAGGAGTGCTTCAATTCACGTAACATCAATTTATAAAAATTCGTTCACATGAAAAAAGAAACTAGTACAGTACTTTGGTATACAAACAAAAACCCCTCTTTTAATATTATTATATTTTTTGTATTTTATCATAGAATCAGAAAATACAGTAGTACCCCGATTTACGCAGTCAATTGAACCCACAGGGTACTGCGGAAAGTGAAAACCGCGTAAAGTGAAGAACAGAACATATGGGATTAATTCCAATAGAGACTGGCCCGACCCCCAAACTCAAACTTTTTCCGACACAATACCTATGTTGTAGTAAAAATAACATCTAAATTTTATGATGGTATGCTCACACAATTAATGTTTAAGAGAAATACAGTCGCCAGGTTAATGTCCATTCAAATAATGGACTCAAATCCCCCTCCCTCTTCCCAGCTTACTGGCCCCTACCTCTCTGAGAAATGATTGAGTGAAACACTAGATTTTAACGTTTAGTAATAAATAATACCTCAGACTAAAATTAGGATAATATAATTGACATTTCTGGATTCCTTGCAGGTCAGGGAATATTTTGAATGTAAACTTCATATATTTTGCACAAAAGATAAAATACTTGCTTTGTGTAAACCAAATTATTACATTAGATCAAAAATTTGTATGTCTAATGCAAAATCCATGATGTTTATATTCAAAATGATCATCATATTGTAAGAATTCCAGCAATGTAAATTATATTCTGGTCCAGTAATTTGTATGAATTTTATGAGCTAAAACAAATATCTTCAGTTAATAAAAAAAAAAATATTCTTCACGACACTATCTGTCAATCAAAGTACCCCAACTTGCCTCCCCCCCTCTTCCAACTGCGCCAGATGGTCGGTCGGTCCCAACCCTCCCCCCCACCCCCCACCTTCCCTCCCTACCAGAGAAATGTTGGGTGAAAAAACTAGATTTTAACTTTTAGTAATAAATAATACCTCAGACTAAAGTTAGGATAATATAATTGACATTTCTGGATTCCTTGCAGGTCAGGAAATATTTTGAATGTAAACGTCATATATTTTGCACAAAAGATAAAATATTTGCTTTGTGTAAACCAAATTATTACATTAGATCTAAAATTTGTATGTCTAATGCAAAATCCATGATGTTTATACAGTTAACCCTCACTTTACGCGGTTAATGTAACCCGGAGGGTACCGCGGAAAGCGAGAAACGCGTAAAGTGAATAACATAACATATGGGATTAATTGAAATGGAGTCCAGGCCGATCCCCAAACTCCACTTTTTGACGACACATAACTATGTTGTAGTAAAAATAACATCTTAATTTTATGATGGTACATGCACACAATTAATACTTAAGAGAAATAGAGAAATACAGTCGCCAAGTTAATGTCCATTCAAATAATGGACACGACTCCCTCCCCCTCTTCTCACACTACACTGCTGGCTCTTCCCTCTGAGAAATTTTGGGGGGAAAACCAGGTATAGTAATAAATAATACCTCAAACTAAAGTTAGGATAATATAATTGACATTGCTGGATTCCTTGTAAGACCAGGAATATTTTGAATATAAATGTCATATATTTTTCACAAAAGATAACATATTTACTCAGATTAAACATTACATCTAAAATTTGTATGTCTAATGCAAAATCTATGATGTATATATTCAAAATGATCATCAAATTGTAAGAATTCCAGCAATGTAAATTATATTCTGGCCGGGTAATTTGTATGAATTTTATGAGCTAAAACAAATATCTTCAGTTAATAAAAAAAAAAAATATTCTTCACGACACTATCTGTCAATCAAAGTACCCCACCTTGCCTCCCCCCCTCTTCCAACCGCGCGGTCAGTCCCAACCCTCCCCCCCCACCCCCCACCAATCCTCCCTTCAAGAGAAAGAGTGGGTGAAAAAAATAAATTTTAACATTTTGTATTAAATAATACCTCAGATTAAAGTTAGGATAATATAATTGACATTGCTGGATTCCTTGTATGACCAGGAATATTTTGAATATAAACGTCATATATTTTGCACAAAAGATAACATACTTACTCAGAGTGAACATTATATCTAAAAATTTTATGTCTAATGCAAAATATATGATATTTATATTCAAAATGATCATCAAATTGTAAGAATTCCAGCAATGTAAATTATATTCTGGCCGGGTAATTTGTATGAATTTTATGAGCTAAAATAAAAATCTTCAGTTAATAAAAAAAAAAATATTCTTCACACGGTAACAGATGGTCGGTCGCCGGTCCCTCCCTCCCTCCCCCCACCAACGTCCCTACTAGATAAATGTGTGGGAATACCAGACTGTTAACCTTTTTAGTAATAAATAATAAATCAGACTAAAGTTAGGATAATATAATTGACATTGCTGGATTCCTTGTAAGACCAGGAATATTTTGAATATAAATATCATATATTTTGCACAAAAGATAACATATTTACTCAAGAGTAAACATTATATCTAAAATTTGTATGTCTAATGCAAAATCTATGATGTTTATATTCAAAATGATCATCAAATTGTAAGAATTCCAGCAATGTAAATTATATTCTGGCCGGATAATTTGTATGAATTTTATGAGCTAAATAAAAAAAATTATACTTCACCCGTGTAAAGGGGTACGCCCACCGCGGAATGTGAGCATCCTGGGTTCTGGCAGGGAACCGCGTAAACGTGGAAACGCGGAATGTGGGACCGCGTAAAGTGAGGGTTGACTGTATTCAAAATGATCATCATATTGTAAGAATTCCAGCAATGTAAATTATATTGTGGCCGGGTAATTTGTATGAATTTTATGAGCTAAAAAAAAAAAAAAATTATACTTCACGCGTATATGAGTAGATGCACCGCGGAAAGTGAAAGTCCGGTTCTGGCAAGGTACCTTGTAAATGAGAAATCGCGGAAAGTGAAACCGTGTAAAGCGGGGTAATACTGTATACATAACCGGAATACACTCACACTAGCCAGACTATGCACTCGGGGAAATCCAGATGAGTAAGTTATCATACCACACTCATTTTCAGCTATTCCATATCATTTATACAGAAAATAAACACAATAGTCTTCATTTTTCCTTATGTTATAGTCCTATATGATATTTTCTTTATTTCCAGTCCATATTAGAGTGATGATGATATTTTTCTGAGCTTATACAGTCGGCCCTTAACATACGCGGGGGTTACGTAACAGAGATAACGTGGATGTAAAATCAATATATATTACTTTGCCCCACCAAAAACCCTGGCCCCCATGTCCTTATTTACTGTATATACCTGTGTGTAGTTCGAGTTTTTAAGACCAAATTATTTGGCAAAAAATTGGGGGTCGACCTCTAAAAGGGGTAATCGTTTCGTTAGGTTGAAAAATATTTACCAGTAACAACCAGTAAACGATGGAAACGATGCACCAACGCACCACCAGCTGTGAGTGTCGGTACAGTTGCCAGGGCAGATCTCTTGCGTCATCATAGCAAGCCCAAAGCAGTCAAATCCATGGTATGGTAGCACAGGACCATGTAAAACATAAAGTATTCATTTATTAAAGTTTATTTATAGATACTGGACATAAATTTTTGTTCATTACATTTGAAACATCAATCTTTGTTAATTAAATTTGAAACAAAAGAAAACTACGATACCGTATTTTCATTAAAATATTACATCACAAGTATATTTTACCTTAACTGTGACTGAATGAATATACGTATTCTCAGAAATAAATATAGAAATGTAATATTTTTGCTGGAATGACATACATATTACAGTGGAAAGTGGGATAAAATTGTGACGAAAGCAAATGACTTTCGCTTTCTTTCGTTATTCAAAAGATTTTACCGTAATCGCTTTTCGAATGGTTTTCAGTTAAAAAACTGTTGTACTCGTACTGTATTACAATAATATTCTATCCTATCATTAGCCTTATAATCCCACAACTGAAAACCATTCGAAAAGCGATTACGGTAACATCTTTTGAACGAAAGAAAGAGAAAGTCATTTGCTTTCGTCACAATTTTATCCCACTTTCCACTGTAATACGTACATCATTTCAGCAAAAATATTACATTTCCATGTTCTCAGAAATAAATGGTAGTTTTGTTGAAACGTAATGTACAGTATTTAATATTAAAATGCAAAAATAGCTATAAAAACAATTAATACACCAGTAATGTACTGGCTGGCATCTCATCCCTGCTCCCGTGTCCAAGGTCACCACTCCTCCCAACTCGCTCCCTCCGCCTCCTCCCCGTCACTACTGCCGACAACAAACACAAATGTTTTGTGAATAACTGCACCTCCACTTCCTATGTACAGTACTGAACTGTACTGTGCTGTGCATTTTTACAAACAATAAACATGGCAAGAAAAGCTAATAAAAAAAAAAGAGATAAAAATTTCACTTTACTGTACAGTTCCTATCCTCGGCGACAGGACGGGGGTCCTCGGGCTCATCGTCACTCAATTCCATAATGGGTGGTGAAGTGGGGGTGACGGTGGATTCAGCTGCTTCCTCACTGCCGCCAGTGATTGATGGTGTTAAATCTCTCCTTCGGTGATCAAAGAACATGGTGATGGGGAGTTGTCGTCTCTTTCATTCATTTCTTCCATGATGTTTTTGTATGGAGCGAAAACGTCATCCATCCCTCGCATGAATTTCAGGGCACGCACCATGGAGGGGTCCATACTACGTATAGGCCAGGTTTTTCAGTGCCTCAATATTCCTGGTCATCTCTCCCAACTTCTCCAACGTTATTTCTTGGTGCTCTTCCTCATCCTCTTTCCCTTTCGCTTCCTCTTCCTTGCCTGAGTCTACTAACTCCTGTAGATCCTCCTCGGTCAGCTCAGTGTCGTGCTCTTCAATTAGCTTCCTAATCTCGTCCTCTGCCATGTCCTGGAAGCCTTCAGCAGCCACTTTCCTTGACAGTGCCAGGGTCTTTCTGAATATTTTCATTTAAATCCATCAAAATCATTTTCCTTGTCATCGTCTTAAGCACCAAACAGCTCCTCCCAGTCTTCTCCTTGAACAGGGCTAGAGGGTATGTGTTTTTCGAATCGTTTTCAATTAAAAAAATGTTACAGCACATGTATATTTTACCTAAACTGTGCCTGAATGAATATATTCTCAGAAATAAATAGTAGTTTTGCTGAAACGTGATGTATTTCAATGTAAAATAGGATAAAATACATGACGAAAACAAAAGACTTTACCTAACCTTCCAATGTTCAAGAGATGTTACTCGTTTTTTTAATAGTTTTCGGTTAAAATACTGTTATATTACAATGATATTATATTCATACTGTGCTTGATATACTACATTCACGGAAATGTAATATTTTTGCTGAAATGATGTACGTATTACAGTGGAAAGTGACGAAAACAATGACTTTCGCTTTCTTTCGTTCAAAAGATGTTATCGTAATCGCTTTTCGAATGGTTTTCAGTTAAAAAAACTGTTGCATCACAAGTGAATTAGGATAGAATATTATTGTAATACAACAGTTTTTTAACTGAAAACCATTCGAAAAGCGATTACGGTAACATCTTTTGAACGAAAGAAAGCGAGTCATTGCTTTCGTCACTTTCCACTGTAATACGTACGTCATTTCAGCAAAATATTACATTTCCATATTCTCAGAAATAAATAGTAGTTTTGCTGAAACGTAATGCATTTCAATGTAAATTAGGATAAACTACATGAAAACAAAAGACTTTACCTAACCTTCCAATGTTCAAGATGTTAATCGTTTTTTTTAGTAGTTTTCGGTTAAAATACTCTTATATTAGTGATATTCTATTCATACTGTGCTTGATATAATACATTCACGGAAATGTAATATTTTTGCAACTACAATGCTGATGTCAACACAAGCGTGGTTACAGTGAGACTGACTCAGTGAGGGAGAGCTATGAGTGTGTGTGAGAGGTTGCGGGAGCGGGCGGTGTCCCGTGTTCGGTGCCACGCGCGATTTGAATGTACTTCAATTACTTCAATGTACAGAATATTCCTCCGGCGGGGCAATCCGCGTATTTGCAAATCCGTGTATTATAAACCCGCGTATGTTAAGGGCCGACCGTATAGTTTAATACATTTTATAAAAGGAACAAGCCATCTTACAGGACACAGCAGACTTGTGACGTGTGTTATGTTTTGAGTTGCGCACTTCATTCTGATTGACTGACATTAAAACAAACAACAATGATGTTTTGGTCTTTTGAATGTTTCTTCTGCTCACACAGTCTTGGTCAAAGTTTCTCTCCAAGTAATCTCTCAACTCCTCTAACTAATACATACAGTCTCTCCATCAGTCATCCTATAGATAATTAATCCTCTTGTGTATCATGATATCAGTATCATCATATCATTAGGTAGCAGTATTTGCATCGGTCGGTGACGTGAATTGTGTCGTTAAACATAAAAAATTTGCCCCAATAAAGTTTCCAAGATAATTACATATTTCTGAGTATTATAGACGAATGCATGACCTTGTGAGTGAGGTTGCCAGAAAGTACCAAAACACTGGTGGAGTTCTGCTGTCCATCAGTTTCCTCCTGTCACCTGTGTTGACAGGTTGCAGTTGTCTCATTTCCTCTCCCACCCTCTCCATAATTAGTTGTAATTTATCAAAATTCCAAAGCCAACATTGGAAAGCTCATAAAATTCCACTTCTATAACTATACAGTATATAGTAATACCTTGGTAAGTTTGTAAGAAAATATCCGAGAAATGATGCTGGAAAACAAAAAAATTTTCTTTATTCGAAGTGAAAAAATATAGTCAAATTCTCAATTTAGTTTTTTCTGCTTATGTTAAAGTTAAAACCAGTGACATTTAAATCATGCAAAAACAACAACTATTTCTTGTCGGATAAATTGGTCAAAGAACGAAGATGACCAAACCTGATGTGAGTGGTACCATATGACTTTTTTTGTGGTCAGACACTCAAAATTTTATTGTGTGCATGAGTGGGTTAATTAGTTTAATATATGTATATTATTTATAGGTACAGTAAAAGTCCAAAAATCCGGATGCCAGAAATCAGGACCACCGAGAATCCGGACTTTTCGAAAACTCAATTATTTTTTTTTTTAGCTGGCTTTTGTGTGTATGTGCGCATGCGTGAGCTGCACAGCGACAACAAACGACCACGCGCGGTCGCCACTTTAAAACGAGCAATCAAACTGTGACAACGTATGTAATTTTGAGTCCTACTCTTTCCATTTACAGAGTACTGAAAAAGCTCATAATAATGGCTCCTAAAGTAGATAAACTTAGGTGTGTGAAGAGAAAGAAGAACACGTTGAAATTGAGTGACAAACTTGAAATAATTAAGAAACTAGAACGTGGTGTGAGCAATACTGTTCTAATGGAAACATACGACAATGGAAAGTCTACAATTTATGATATAAAAAAGGCAAGAATAAAATTCTAGAATTCACAGCTTTTTCTTTAAAACTGCTCGTTTTGATAAATGAAGCATGCTATATTTGCTAATGAATAAAATATCAAAATGTACCTGTTCATCTCTTCTTTATTCCTCCTTAAATTTGAATTTTAAAAGTACTGCCTGAGAATCCGGAAAATCCGAAAATCCGGACCGACCTAATCCCCAAGCAGTCCGGATTTTTGGACTTCTACTGTAATATGGATTTATTTATTTATATTTGATAATTGTGTACAGTAAGCCCGGATAATTCACGGATTTTTATTTCGCGGTCCTCTATTATTCATGGATGACACCCTGGATGTACCAAGAATATCTGCGGGTAGTTTTAAAGTTGCCAGCATTTTTGCAGCAGAGACAGGGAGCCATTCGCTCTAGAGACAGTAATTTCCTTTACCTGTATTGTATATGTGTGTGTGTACACACACACATACACATACTGTATATACACAATAGAGGTAAAAGAAATAATTGTCCTAAGGGCAAACACATAAAAGGAATATACATTTCTTTGTACACAAGTAAAAATGCACCCCCACCCGGCAAATGTTATTCGCGAATTTGACGATTCGTGGCCATTTTGAGAACCTAACCCCCGCGAATTTGAAGGGTATGCTGTATTTACTGGGGTATTAATATTTTTATTCAAAAAATTAAGTTTTCACTTGTTTTTTGGGGGCCAAATAATGATTTACAGTATATCGGTCTAAACTGGACTTAATGACCCAGTTTACGAACATCCACTTTACAAAAACATTTTTAGGAACCCATTCAGTTTGTAAACCAGGGATTGCCTTTACACTGTTAACATGCATACTTGGTAAACAACACATACAAGTGTACAGTATACTGTACTGTTAATATTCATACCTGGTAAATGTAGCAACTTGACAAGTCTGGCTATGACTTCACCAATGGATGGTAAAGGTACAACTTGAATGCTGAGGAATATGCTCAAATTTCCAGCGATACCCAGTAAGTTCTTTGCAGTTGGTAGTTTCATGGTATCTTTCAAGAAGAACAGGTCACGGGAAAATAATTTCATGTTTGGCTTTAGCAGATATTGAGCTGACATGTAGGGAAGGTGACCCTCTCGACACCACCTGCCAACATAAAGGTAAAATAAGAGGTAATATAATATGTAATGCATAGTTGCAATATTTCATTATTAGTCAACATACAATACTTGTACCCTGTATTAATAATGAAAAAGAAGATTTTTTTTTAAATGATTCCACTGTACAGTATTTACTTTACTTTACCTCAAGCATAATAAAGGTGCAATAAAACCTCACTCATGCACGTAATTTCTAAATTTACAATTCATATCAACATTTAAAAAAGCTACATTCAAACCTCTCAAGTTTGCAGTCAATTCAATGATTGTATTCTAGAAGACAAGTTATGAATTCGTGTATAACATTTATGTATGGCCCCATAGGCTATATTCAGTACAGTGAACCCTCGCTTTACGCAGTTTCACTTTACGCGTTTCTACATTTACGCGGTACCCTGCCAGAACCGGAATTCCCACTTTAGGCGGTGCATCTACTCATATACACGGGTGAAGTATAATTTTTTTATTTAGCTCATAAAATTCATACAAAAAACCCGGCCAGAATATAATTTACATTGCTGGAATTCTTATAATTTGATGATCATTTTGAATATAAGCATCATAGATTTTGCATTAGACATACAAATTTTAGATCTAATGCAAGTATTTTGTTTACTCAGAGCAAATATGTTATCTTTGGTGCAAAATATATGACGTGTATATTCAAAATATTCCTGGTCTTGCAAGGAATCCAGCAATATCAATTATATTATCCTAACTTTAGCCTGAGGTATTATTTATTACTAAAAATGTAAATATACTGTTATAACCCAATCATTTCTCTAGTAGGGAGGGAAGGTGGGGGTGAGGGGTAGGGAGGGTCCCAGGGAGCAGGTGGGAAGAGGGGGGGAGGTGGGGTATTTTGATTGACAGATAGTATTTGGGTAAGTATATTTTGTTTATTTATTGAAGATACTTGTTTTAGCTCATAAAATTTATACAAATTACTGGGCCAGAATATAATTTACATTGCTGGAATTCTTACAATTTGATGATCATTTTGAATATAAACATCATAGATTTTGCATTAGACATACAAATTTTAGATCTAATGCAAGTATTTTGTTTACTCAGAGCAAATATGTTATCTTTTGTGCAAAATATATGACGTGTATATTCAAAATATTCCTGGTCTTGCAAGGAATCCAGCAATGTCAATTATATTATCCTAACTTTAGTCTGATGTATTATTTATTAATAAAAAGGTAAATATTCTGGTTTCTCCCAAACATTTATCTGACGAAGGACTGATAGGCCGGACACTGGATACTTGCTGGATATCCAGTGCATTCCTAACAGATATCTTTACCCCTCATACATTGCCCCAACACATCATATAAGACACCTCTCAACCCTTAATTTTCTTTTACCCTTTCATTTTCAGAAATATGTTAGTCCAATTACATGATGGAAAGATACATTACTGTCGAGTCTCTGATGGATGGTCAAACACAGTGGTCCGAGAGGGGGTAATGGCCACTCCAGGATCTCTCCCACAGGCTTTTATATTTGGGACATGTTCTTAAATCATCAAATTATTGTGCTTGTAAAGGCCACCTTATTCTTGATATTTGAGAAGTATATCCATAAGAAAAAGTTGCTAAGGTGCTTGTTATATTGGCTTAAAAAAATATTTTTAAGAAAAGAAAAAAAGGAAAACAAAGATAAAGATATGAAATTACACTTCAGTGTTAGAAAAGCAAACAAAACCAGATAAATAATAACACAAGACAATTACCTTCCCCTTCAGCTTTTCTAATTCTGACAATTTCTTAGTTGTTTTCTTTTTGGCCTTGTTCCTGCGGAATTTCATAGAGGTGGCTGATACACTTTTCTGCTTCTTGGTGATCAGCTCAACATCTCTATAGTGATTAAAAAGGTACAAAATAATCAGTCTCTTGATGATAAACCATGGTTAAGATGTGGGCACCTTTCACTTATTATTTGCATGCCACCTCAAGAGTTCAGTAATACAAAATATAAAATGACATATATAACACCTTAGCTAATTAGAACAGTCACAATACTTTAGTCAACAGAATATTCTTAATATGATTCATTTGGACAGGTTGGAGTATGTTAGTACAGTAAAGGAAACACTAGTGGGGCACTGGGGCTTTTTCTCTTGACATATGTTTTGACTTTACAATCTTCCCGAGAAGAGTACAGTAAACCCCTTGAAAGTCCAGATTTTGGATATGCCAGACCTTTTTTGGGCATGAAACATTTGTCCAAATATTTGTCGTTTGAAATTCCCTCTGCACTCAGTTATTTGAAATTGCTGCCAGTGAGCAATCACCTGGCCTCTTTTCTCCTTTCTGACCCATGAGTGAGCAGTTTATTCCCCGTCTTAGAATGGACTCACCCATAATGCTGGACTGTGATTGGTTAACTATAGTTCAACACACATTAAGCCAAAGAAAAATGGTAAGCTTTTTGGTAAAATAATTCAAACAATGGAGATGGAAATCCCCCCAGGAAGAGCAGAAGACGAGCGCGTACTGCATCACCCATGTCACACACACACACACACACACCTGGCGCAGTTCATGTCTTCATTATTTTAAAGTCAAATTACAAATTATATATTGTATTTTTTGCCATTATTTAACCCCTACGTCCCCGGTTGACATTCCAGAACGCACGCCTTTTCGCGGCATTGTTTGAATGCCCAGCGCAGGTTATCAGGTTCCAGTGTGACTATTTGCCTGTCACTCCACACACTCGGCCACAGGGAAGCTTCCTGAATGTAATTACCTACTTTTGTTTGTTTCATTTTCATTGTTTGTCCATTTTATCATGCTGTATCAAAGTAATATTGCTAAAAGTAGTGCAGTTGTATTGTAGTGTAGTATTACAGTACTGGAAAATAATGCTTTGATTGTTAAATGTATTTTTTGTGGAATTATTATTCCGATAATTATTTATATGCATTACATGCTCTACCAAACACAAAGACAGCCAGACAGCCTGGCGACAGACTGTGTGTGTGTCGGTGAGCACTTTTTATGAAAAAAATTAAAATAAAATACTGTATTTTAAATGAATTATTTATAGCAAATAAGTATTATACTCAGTAAATATATGCATTACTGGCCATCCCGGACACAAAAGCAAGCAGAAAATGGCTGCTAAGTGCGTAGTGATCACGTGAGCTAGCCTTCAAAACAACACTGTCGCCTTATCTCCCTGGCCACTACTGCCACAGGGAAGTTTCTAGAGGGTCAATATATAGTTTTTCTTAATTCTTTTTGGTTGTTTTATTATTTAAAAACGTTAAAAATTATTTTTGGAAAAGTTGATTTTTTCTCACTCTACACTGTGTGGGGAATACGACCAGCAGCACCCTAGCCCGGGGCAAGAGGGGTTAATATTTTATATTATTAATGATGAAACACACAACACACTGTAAGAAGCTGACCATATGTGAACATAATGAGTAAATAAAAACAAACTCAAACGTGGCAAAGCCAGTCCCACCCACCACCACTGTCAGGGAAGAAATTACCTTCTGATTCGGTTTGTCTTTTCATTTTGGAACCAATTTACAAATAATACATCATATTTTTTCTATTATTTAGTATCCTATATTATTAATGATGAAACACACACCACAAGACTGATCTTACGAGAATACAATAATGAATAAATAAAAACAAACTGATGATCGAGGCAAGGCCAGTCCTACCTCCCGACCATGCTTACACATGGTGTCATCTCTCGACAGTATCTACTAGCTCTCGGTTGACCTATAACAAATCTGATTAAACCACTGTACAGTATCCCCCATTAAAGACAACACAGTATATATTTTAATAATAAATAGGGTTCACGTAATACATTTTAAAAATATTATTATTTTTTTAATGAATTGTAGAGTTCATTAAAAGTACCAGGGTGGAATTAATTTTTTATAAAATTTATTACTTTATTTAATAAAATATATACTGTATTTTTTTTAATGGGGATACTGTACAGTGGTCTAATTAGATTTGTGTACCAACACTCCCTGGTTTATGGAAAGATTCCGTTCCTGGACCCTATCTGTTAGCCAAATTTTCTGTAAACCGAAAATGACCCTTCCATAAGGTAAATATGTACTGTACCCTGTAATGAATCACAGATGGTTTCTCACAAGGGGATGTGCTCAGCTGCCTTATGCATAATCCAACACAAATAGTGTTCATATGCTGCACCTTCTCTAATAACAAATACTCTCGCACAACCAGAAAATTTTTATAATGGGATTTATGGGATATACTCTGTATCCTTGAATTTCTGTAAACCAAGTGTTCTGTAACCCGGGGAGTGTCTGTATAGGCCTAATGACTGCTTATAGATATGAGAGATGACACTTCATGTGTAAACATGGTGGAGGAAGGGGAAAACTGGCCATGCCACAATCACCAGTTTTTTCATTTATTCATTATTATATTATTGTATGATCAGCCAATTATGGTGTATGTTTCATAAATAAAACAACATAGCATTAAATGATAGATAAATTACAATACAGTAAACCCTCGCTTTACGCGGTTTCACTTTACGCGGTACCCTGCCAGAACCGGAATTCCCACTTTACGCGGTGCATCTACTCATATACGCGGGTGAAATATAATTTTTTTATTTAGCTCATAAAATTCATACAAATTATCCGGCCAGAATATAATTTACATTGCTGGAATTCTAACAATTTGATGATCATTTTGAATATAAACATCATAGATTTTGCATTAGACATACAAATTTTAGATCTACTTTAAGTATTTTGTTTACTCTGAGTAAATATGTTATCTTTTGTGCAAAATATATGACATTTATATTCAAAATATTCCTGGTCTTACACGGAATCCAGCAATGTCAATTATATTATCCTAACTTTAGTCTGAGGTATTATTTATTACTAAAAAGGTAAATATTCTGGTTTCTCCCAAACATTTCTCTGGTAGGGAGGGTTGGTGGGGGATGGGGGGAGGGAGGGACCGACCGACCATCTGGCGAGGTTGGAAGAGGGGGGGAGGCAAGGTGGGGTACTTTGATTGACAGATAGTGTCGTGAAGAATATTTTTTTTTTTATTAACTGAAGATAATTGTTTTAGCTCATAAAATTCATACAAATTACCCGGCCAGAATATAATTTACATTGCTGGAATTCTTACAATTTGATGATCATTTTGAATATAAACATCATAGATTTTGCATTAGACATACAAATTTTAGATCTACTTTAAGTATTTTGTTTACTCTGAGCAAATATGTTATCTTTTGTGCAAAATATATGACATTTATATTCAAAATATTCCTGGTCTTACAAGGAATCCAGCAATGTCAATTATATTATCCTAACTTTAGTTTGAGGTATTATTTATTACTATACCTTAAAATCTAGTGGTTTTCCCCCAAACATTTCTCAGAGACGGAAGAGGCAGGAGTGTGAGAAGAGGGGGAGGGAGTTGAGTCCATTATTTGAATGGACATTAACTTGGCGACTGTATTTCTTTTAAGTATTAATTGTGTGCATGTACCATCATAAAATTAAGATGTTATTTTTACTAGAACATAGGTATTGTGTCGGAAAAAGTGGAGTTTGGGGGTCAGCCGGTCTCTATTTCATCTAATCCCATATGTAATGTTGTTCACTTTACGCGTTTCTCGCTTTACGCGGGCCTCCGTGGGTTCAGTTGACCGCATAAAGTGAGGGTTCACTGTACATAATTTGTAATTTGACTTCAAAATAAAAGAAAAATGTAAACGGAAACACACACGACATTTATTGCACATTAAAATACAAAATTAAGGGTCATGGGGGGAGGGGGGGGAGGCACTAATGAGTGAATACTTTGTGCACAGTAGCCCCCAGAACCCCCCCCCCCCCCAAAAAAAAAGGCTGGAGCCTCTTTCCCCCCAAATTGCACACACGTTCCAGGGTTTACTGTATATATAGCACAATGAAACCACCCGCTTCTTAAACAAATCTCACAAATACAGAAATGGGTGGAGGAGCTTTGTTGGTTCCTTTGATTGGTCTGCTACCGTGGTCCTCTCTTCTTTGACCCCCCCAATCATGCATTGCCCAATTCTGTGTTGACGTCAGGTTGCAAGGTGATGTGTATTGATTCTAAAGCTTTCCTAGTTATTCTAGCCATGACTTGGTGTATAATTCTTGCCTCACCCCACTGGAATAAATGTCTTTGTGGGTGACTGATGAGTTTGAAAGGACACAGAAGAGAAGACAACAGCAGCAGAACAATCTGAGGAATCCCAAGATTTGTCGTTTACTCTTCTGAAGAAAACAGTAAAGTCAAAATACATGTCAAGAGCAAAATTTCCAATGCCAGCTTGTGTTTACTTTGCCATCTTACTTAATAGACAGTATTAAACCTTATTTTAAGCATATTAATCATTTTGTTTAAGGTTCCTGGATGAATTTTAGCTCATAAATACTCTAAGGCAAAAAATTTTGAACATAAAAAATAAAACTAAGATTTGTTAATTAAGTTCAAAAAGCTTGCTTTCAAGACATTTAATTCTAAAATCTCACAAATTTGCTAAGAAGTGGGAAAAAGGACACAGCTGTGTTACTATTCCTTCGAGCTCTCACTACGGCTGTGGCTGAGCCTCAAAACATCCAAATAACAGTATGAAGTACATTATACTGTATGTACTATATTTTTTATTATACACACACATTGAACTTAGACCTACTTAAGTAGGTACTGGCACTTGTATATCAGTACTGTACAGTAAATCCTCAATAACTCGGCACATATGGGGCTCCGGCCTTGCCGAGTTATCCCAAATTCCGACTTATCGAGGCACCACCCCTCCCCCAAACAAAAATGCAACAATAAAAAATTATCGACCCATATAAGTGTACATGTAATTACTAAATGTAAAAAATTATCACTTATGAGTACAGCAGGTGAAGAATGAAGCATCATAGTAGGTGACACAGAGACATGGTAGGTGATGCAGGTGGCAAGATATGCCGAGATTTTCCCAGATAATTTTACATATCTTGGCATTTCCCGGTTATACCAATACATTCTGAGACCATATCCATGCAGAGTTATCGAGGGTTTACTGCACTGTACCACAAATAATTACATATCATGGTGGGTTTAAGAGCTAATTCAAAGAAAGCAAAAATATTAATTGATTAACTTGACTAATGAATATCTATATGAAAGTCTACCAGTTACTTCATATTGTATCTGTATAAAAGAAATTTTTGAATACAAATTCTTATACAAAATCTTACCTTGTCTCATGAACTGAAATGTTTCTTGTTTCAGTTTTTGTTTCTTCGTCATCAGTTGGTGGCTTGAAGGCAAGTTTAGAATGTTGAAGGTACATCACCCACAACTTAAAAACAATCTGCTGGAAGTGTGATGAGGCTCCCAGATTACAAAGTGCCTTGGTCCATTCATGAAGAACAACATTGAACATCTCATAGGTCGTCCAGTTATTTATATCATCATCATCATAATCTATAAAAAATATATATATATATATATATATATATATATATATATATATATATATATATATATATATATATATATATATATATATATATATATATATATATATATATATATATATATATATATATATATATATATATATATATATATATATATATATATATATATATATTTTTTTTCAGAAGCAACTCAGTGAATCAGACATTGATGCTGCAGTTTCATACAACAGGAGAAATTGTATTTAAGGAGGAGGTATTCTACATGGCTATTCACAATGTGTGTGAAGACATAAATAAGCAGTATCATGCAACACTTCAGATATAGCCATACTTCAAGAAACAGCACATATGTGGACTGCAAAAAGTCAACGGACAGTAAATCAACGGTTACCAAAGCAGTAAATCCCATAAGACTATAACAAATTTCGGAGGTTAAAAACCAGCCCCCATCCCCCCCCAAAAAAAACTCCCACCTACCCTTGTTATATCTCTGCCGTGCACACTGTCAAGCTCTATCAAGTCTCCGTTACAGTATTTTAAAATAAAAAGGATATAGCATACAGCAGAGCGAATAACTTCACCTTGATACATTATTTTATTTTATTTCTCATCATAATAAATGGTTCCTCTTAATGATTTTCTTGTTAGGTTACAATGTTGTGGGAGGGAGGAGGGAGAGAAGATAAAGTGAGACGTCACCTTCGATACAACGTATCCTTTTATTCTCAAGTCAAAATACAAATTACTATACAGTTTCTCCTCTACTTACGACATTTGACTTAACGACAACCTGAACATACGACCGTCATGGTCGTATAAAATATTTTTCACATTACGTATTTTCGAGTCCCAACATTTGGTCTTAATGTGACGCCGTACAACAGCTTGGGCTGGGCCGCCTCGTGGTGTACAGCATCCACGCCGTAGCCCGCTCAGTTGCTGTTTGCCCGTCGTTGTTGTTGTTAGTGATTACGCTATGTACGTACAGACAAAATTTTCTTTAACCGAGGGACCACTGTATAATAATGAATACATGAAAACAAACTGTCAAACATGGCACGGCCAGTCTCAACCCCTCCCTCCTTTACGGAGGGAGGGGTTGTCTTTTATTCTGAAGTCAAATGATATACTGTACTGTATCATATTTTGCTCTATTATTTAATATTGTATGTTATATTATTTAATTTTAAACATACACCTTAATAGGATGATCATACGAGAATATAACAATGAAAACTGTAAATAAAAACAAACTAGTAAACACTGCAATGGCCAGTCCCAACCCTCTCCGACCTCCAGCACCTTTACACATGAACATAGCTCGTACCTCTTAGCTCTCATTAGGCCTTTTTCAAATCTGATTAGAACACTGTACACTATCCCAATTAACCCCTCCGTGATTTCCATATAATAAACCTAGATACCTCCCTCTGGTTACCAAAAAGTTAATTTCTGTTTTTTGCTGGAAAAGCTAGATAATGATGTAAAAAATTATGTGAAACGGTTAGAAAGTGGTAACCCAAGTCTCATGTTAGCAGAATCGTAAGAATTGTTGTGTAGCGTCTCAGTTACCAGGGGAACTAGCTCCGGCATTATAAATACAACGTGCCACAATTTCTGCATGACCTATGAGACATATCACTATGAATTTATTTTATTTCCACCTCTTTTTTATTCTAGACTTTTGATTATATAATACAGGATAGGTAGGTGAATAGAAAAATGGAATTCGATTTTTTTTTAATTTACTTGTGAGAATTATAAATCGAATGCGACTTAAAGAGAGGCCTCTCTCCACAGGAAACATGCGGCAGTGAGTTTCAAACATCATCATTATCACTCAAATCACTGTCTGTTTCTAATGGCTCCTCAGTATCACAAGGATCATCCTCATCAAAGAGAATAGTTTATTTCGGTGCCACTGATAGCTCAACGTGATGACATCCTTAAAGAGTGGGACAGGCGAAGGTACTGGCATGTTGCCAAAAACACGAGGCCTAGTCACATGATTCCCTTAAGGGCTGTATGCCAGACAACTCAAAATGTTTATTTATAGCTCTAGGGCCCACAGAGATTAACGAGAATTTTTAAATTTTCAAGGAAGTTGATATATGCCCCAAACCACTTAGGGGCTAAAGACAATATATACTCTACTTAAAATGCTAGCAATCATTTATGGGTTAAGCAAAAGAGGAAGTATCAACGGGGTGTTTAGGCATGATTGTATAACACACAACGTCAGATCAACGGGGCAGTCAGCAAAACTTGCGGGATATTTCCCTAATATACTGTACTGTATCGTCTGTTATGTGAAGCATCGGTCAATGGGACCTCGGTTTACGGAGTATACCTGTACATAAAAAGCTTGGATTTCTGTGGTCTTACCTTGATATGACTGATGAGGTCATTACCAATGAAAATAAAGTTTGCAACAAAGTATAAATATGATGTTTCAGGTTGAAAGTTAGCAGAAAATCCTACACTGTAAGATAATCCGTGAAGCCAATCTAGATGATACTTCACAATCTCCACTCAAACTTCTTTACAAAATCAGAAGACTAAAGCTGGAGGATTTATTCCCGAACACATGTATAACTTAACGATCATTTTTACATTGCCAGTGACTGTTGCTTAAGCTGAAAGGCCTTTTAACATGCTGAAGCTGATCAAGAATCACCTGAGAAGCACAATGGAATAGGAGAGATTGTCTGCTTTAATCATTTAAAGTATTGAAAGTGACATGACAAGAAATATTTATTTTTTGCAAAAAAAAAAAAAAAAAAAAAAAACAGAAAAGGTAAATTTAATCAATTTAAATTTAGTGCATAAGTTTCAGCGACATCATTGTCAAACCCTTATTTTATTTATACATTAAAGTAATGAAAAAATATACTCTGATCACAGATACAGTACAGTGACCCCTCGGTTAACAAACTCAATCCGTTCCAGAAGGTCGTTCGTTAACCGAAAAGTTCGTTAACGAGGGGTCACTGTATTCGGTTTCCTATCATCAGATCTATGTAATTTATAATGTGCTGGATGGAATACTAGTGCAGTGAGTTACCTTACATAAGCTTCAGTGCACCTGTACATACTGTATGTGGTCTTTGTTATAATAATCATCTGTATCCAAGGATTCACATTTACATGGTCAACTTATTGTAGTAATATACTGTATGTCAAATTTCCCCACACTTAAGAGGATTACACTGATTAAATCTGTCAAATTTCCCGCCCGCCACTCACCCACGACACACAAGTGGAAATCCTAGCCAGTACTGAACAGCTTCAGATTTTTTGTTTTGTTTTATTGCTTAATTCAGTGAAATTCATTAAAAAAAATTTTTAGCCATGTGTTCCAAAGGTAAGCAAGGTGGTACTGTGCCTAAATGGAAGCACAATAACTATGGGGTGAACATGAAATTACACATTATTCACCATAAGAAAAGTGGTGAGCGTGTGGTAGACATCTCACGTACCCTGTAGATGCGGGAAACAACCATTCACACCTCATGGACGAGAGCAACGGGAATTCGGAAATTAAAGCAAGGGCTATAATATTACTAAGACACTCTGAGGTAAAAATAACACGTCAAAGGAGTGATGTGATGAAAATGATGGAGAGGCGGCTTCCAAGATGGACTGAGGATTTGTATCACCAGCATACACCCATAATTTTAGCCCTCATCCAAGAGAAGGCTTTAAGGTTACACGAGGATCTACAGAAGGAGTTGGAAAAGGAGGAAGCTGCCAAGGAGAAGGATTTCAGCATATCAAAGGGTTAGTTTCACTACTTTCAGAATGGGTGTGTGTGGCTTCAAGAAAATTAAGATTCAGTGGGAAGCTGCCAGTGCGGATGTAGAGGCACCCGAAGCATTTCCAGCTAAACTAAAGATGATTATCGAGCAAGGTGGCTACAGTGCAGAGCAGGTGTTCAACATCGATGAAACTGGCGTCTATTGGAAGTACATGCCACCTTGTGTTTACATTTCAAACAAAGGATAAAAGCTCCAGGCTTCAAGGCATCAAAAGACCGAGTAACTCTACTTGTGGAGGGTAATGCTGCTGGTGACATGAAGCTTATGCCCTTGTTTGTGTTTTGGAGTGAAAAATCAACGGGCGTTGAAAAACGTTGCTAAAGATTTGCTACCTGTGATTTGGAAGTCACATCGAAAGGCATCACTGGTTCACTGAGTACTTTTTGCCAGGGATGAAGAAATGTTGTGAAGTGAACAATATTGGTTTCAAAACTGTTTTACTCTTGGACAATGCCAGTTCTCATGTGCTTGATTTTGTGAGTTTGTCTCCAAACACAAAAGTAGAGTTCATGTCACCAAGAACATCATCAGTGATGCAACTGATGATATGGCATACTGTACTACAAATTTCAAGAAATTAATCTCTGAAAGTGATGCTAATGAAGTGACAGTGCAAGAATTTTGGAAAAACTTTAATATTTTGCATTGCGTGCAACTACTCGACCAAGCTTGGAAAGAAGTATTTACTCAACTAATGAATGGTTGATGGAAGAATTCATATCCTGATGCTGTTCACTCTTTTGAAGGCTTCAATGTCATCAAATGTACACCACGATTGCATGGCCAGCAAATGATGCAGGCTTTAAAGATGTTGAATAAATACTACAATCTTATGCTTTACCATTATTGAATGAGGTGTTGGCCGAGTTAGAGAAGCATACACAGGAAGAATCAAGATTTGATGACGACAACATTACTGCCTTTTCAGATGAAAGTGGAGGCTTAACATTTAAAGGTCTTAGAAAAGTCTTTGGGAAGTCATTTAAAGAAAGATGACCCTCTCTATGATCCTGCTGTTAAACTTGAATGTAAAGTAAGTGATATGTTAGCCAGCTATTCTGCAATTTTACTGGAAAAAGTATTTGCTGGAAATCAAACGACTCTTGATTCATTCTTTGTGTGACGCAAACCAGTCATGGAGGAGATCAGATGGTAGTACACAACCCCCCCCCACCCCCAGTCCAGCCTCTTTCTTATCCTCTCCTAACATCCATCTCCATCCATTCAATCAAGCCCAACATGTCTATTTTTGAAGGTAAGCGAATAAAAATTATTGATGTTAAAATTATTTATTTTAAAAACATTTTAATATCATGTCTAAATGATTGAGTGAGTGTGCGAGTACATGAGAGAATGTGAGTGCATGAGTGTGTGCAAGTGTGTGAGTAGTTTAGCCTACATTGCATCAACACAACACCCCACACAACTTTAGGTAAGAAATAAGATAAATAAGCTCAAAGAATTCTTAAAAATAATGTGTAATAAAATTTATAACAAATGTTTCTAAGGTGTAAATGTTAAGCTATTAAAATTAACTTATTGAGTGTCCTTTACTATTTGATGGTCCCGATCAAACCCTACTCCTGCTCATTCTCATGGGAAGAAATTCCTTGCTTCAAGTGACGTTTTATGGTCCCTATTAACCTTGGATAATGAGGACCCCTTTACTGCATACAGTATACAGGTATATTATTTCTAGATATCTAAATATTAAGAATATTATCTTATTTTAATAGATTATAATTATGATAGGAAAGCTAGAGGAAATACATTGCAGTACAAACTGTATTTACAGGTATTTGGAAAAAGAACATTTTCCTCTTGGCCTAGTGTATATAGCTACCATACCTCTTTGGATGGTCATATCCAAGTCGCCATCCCCATCGTCAATCATGTTGATTAAGCGTGAACGATTAACATCACAGAAATCTTCCTGGCTGAGTTGTTCAATGTATCTTTTCTGTACTGTCCCACACTCGTCACATATCCTACAACCACCATCCTGGCTAAAGGACGTCCCTCCACACTCAAAGCACTCCTGAGCCATGTTGCTTTGGCTGTTGAAAAATAAAAATACTATAGAACAAACATAAAGTATAGGGGTCACAAATGCTGAATAAGTGAATGGGAACACAGCAACATGAAATAAATATAGGACAAAGGTACTAATTTTTATGTGATTGTCCAATTAGCATGCAGGATAAAAAAATTTCCTCTCAGAAAATTGCTGCAGTTAGAACAATAAACTTGGTGTCAAAATCAACCTTAAATATTGCGCATTCTTCCCACAAACAGGCAATTTTGTACTCGCCATAGTTATGATACAGGAATAAAATATATGTCAGTGATTCAAAGGAATCCTAATGCAAAACCTAAAGGTAGAAACTTTTTTAACCTAACCTTTACCATCTTGTCAAAAATATTTTCCCAATTCTTTTATCACATCACTTTTGGGTAAGGTTGGGTAGCTTAGGCTGGTTCATCTTATGTCATATAAATCTGATAGAGTGCAAGTAACCTCCCAATACAGTATTGTATATCTATGTACTGTATGCCAATTATACACAAACTTTCATTGGTACCAGATATCAAAGTAAGTACAGTATACAGTACAGTACTTTCTGCTTAATATGACAGGAGGTCTGGCCTGGATAGGAAGTTAGGTAGGTTCTTTGGTTTGGTTGGTTAGGTCATGTTCTATTAGGTTCTGTACATTGCTGTATCATTTTTATTACATGTACTTACTATTATCCAAAGAACATCTGTGGAAAAAATGAACAAAATTGAACAACTTCTCGTGTTAGCTGTCTGCTCCACCTTTACCACAACCTTTTCTTTTACTTTTAGCTTGTTTTTCTTTTTCTCCATCTATGATCATAAATCATGGTAAATAGCTAATCGTGTGGCAATATTAATTTCACGCCTGTATGTGCTTTGTACACAAAGAAATTAATTTACCATAAATATTCCTCTGATAATTCTCCTGTGGTGCCGCATGTTTATGTTCAGGGTTAAACTAATAACTTTTGAATATGGCCTTTCTTAACCGTGTTCTCCACCTTTACCTATGCAACCCGGTAACCTTGGAGGAAATGGCGAACACCAAGGCGTTCATTTTGTCCACAGATGCCCTTATCATTATCCAGTATTTTAAGAGGCGACATTTACTAGAATCTAATTGAACCTAACCAATCAAAGAAACCTACCTAACTTCCTTGTTGGGAGGCAGAGACCAACCAGCCACCAGATTAAACAGAAAGTACTTATTTAGATATCTAGTACCAGTGAGAGCAACATCATAGTGTAATTTTATGTTTTTGTGAATGTGAGAGTACGCTGACTCGGCAGAATTTTGGGTGGAATATTTACGGTAAATAATTAATTTATTCACGTACAAAGCATGTAGAGACATCATATTAGTGTCATATGATCAGTTTTTCAGCCTGCTTTACCCCACAATTTCCCTTATTCTTCATGCCCTGCCCACTACAGATGATTTATGATCATAGAGAAAAACTAAAAACTAAAACTAAAACCTTATAATTAAAAGATAAAGTTGTTGCCTCTTTTAAAATTTTGGTAAATATTTAGAAGTTGCCAACAACTACTTATGTATTGAGTCTAATATAGGGAGAAAGAGAAAAAACTAAAACTAATTAAAATTTTATTCTCCAGCATTTCCGTCAGAAATTTTTATTTTTTGAGTATTTTAACTGATAAACTTAGCCGCAACATTAGTTGTTCAAAGCAGGCACGTCTTTGAAGTTGAAGGAATATGTGGGGGTATAATACAGTACTGAAAAAAAAAATACCAATTAAAACATTTGAAATCTTACCCAACCTTTAAAGTTCAGTCAATTTATAGTACTGTAGTGCACCGTTCTTTCGGTCTTTTTATATTAGTGCAGCATTCTATCTCTTGATGTTAGAGATATGTTTTTCCGAATGTTTAGACAATTCTAAGACATTTTTCTTCTGTGATATTTCTAATACATGTACCAAAAGACATATAACCTAACTTAACCTATCCCCTTTTCTGTGTCAAAAAACACAGAAAATCACCCAAAACCAACCAAACCTTAATTTCCAATGAAAATATCACAGAAGAAAATGTTTTCGAATTGTCTAAACATTCGGAAAAACATATTTCTAACAACGAGAGATAGATTGGTTCGGTTTTTAGTATGTGATGATGTTTATGGTGCTCAGAGGAGGGATCCATAAACATAAAAGCAATTCATAACATATTTATAAGCTAGGAAAGGTTTGCTTGGTTTTCTTTTTATAGTGAATATTTTGCTGTGACAGGCTAAGTTCATATTAACGCTATTTTATCATAAATGTGTTTTGATTGGCTAAGTACTTTCTTTTTTATATGACCGCCCCCCCTCCTCCCCCAGCTAGGAATTTAGGAAAGTTAGTTACAGTAGGTTTCTTTGGTTGGTTAGGTTAGGTTAGGTTAGGTTAGGTTAGGTTAGAAATATGGTTAGGTATGTTTACAGTTACACAACAATCGACTCACGGCAAAATAGATGCCAAATACCATCATTCACGGTCAAATATACAGGGTGTCCATAAATGATTACCCTGATTAAAGCGTTAGAGCTGTTTTTAGGGTAATTATTTATGGACACCCTGTAGTTCTCCTGTTGTTTCCCGGTAATGGACGGCAAAATATCCACTGCCTTTACTTTTTAGTATTTTACCACACATTTTCCCTGTACTTCAACACCCTACCTACTTTGAAGAACTAACATTATGGATAATTTTATCAGTTAAAATACTCGAAAAAAAAATACATGCGTGATTTGCTTAAGTTTTCACTCTTTTTTCCTTATTCTTCCATCCCTGTGTCTTACAAATAAATAAATACGGTATATCAGTGAAGATTCCGTTAGATATATTAAAAGACAAAAGGATAAAACTTAGACGAATAATAAACCAATCTCACGTTCACGAGCAGCACCACATGTAAGTATACCAGGAACAACACCGATAAAACAACATATAATTACTTTAATCTGATGATACTAACCTTATTTTCCACTCCTACTTACGATAGACTTATGTTACATTACAGTCCTGCTTGTTAATACTGTTCTACACAACCATTCAAGCAGCCATAACCAAAACACAAGTGACTACTAGTGTAAAACTTTTGGTAAAATTATTTGTTCGGTTATTCACCTATTTGGAAGTTAAAATTATGTTTACCGGTTGTTTTTGATGTGTTTTAAACGAATATGACCGTCATTTCTACCATAAATCACTACTTTTTGAGATACTTTCCCCCTTATCCAAAAAAAAGTAAATACATGAGGATAGGAAGAACAAAAGTTGCTGACCAGGGATATCATATGTAGTACAAGAAGACCACTGTAGCAGTAGAGAATGTACAGAGGAAGGCTACCAAATTAGTGCCACAGATCAAGGATTTATCATATGAGGAAAGACTAAGGAAATGACAGTTACCGAGGAAGATAGTGTGTGGCATATATGACCAGGCATGCACAGCAGGAATGTTCCAGGTGAGGTTTAAAATGTCTGTATATGTCGGGTTAAATGTTCACTGTTCTTTTACTAGCTGTTAACTGCTGAAGGTGTTCATGTTGACTGTTAACAGTTTAAAGTGTTGATGTTAACGGTTATGAGTGTTATTTAACTGTCAAGGGTGATGAAATTAACAGTTAATCCTGTATCACATAACCCACTGAGTACCGTGAACGACTTAAAGGATTATATTAAGGACGATTTTATTCAGCAGAGAGGAACCTTTAACAATCAGAGGTTTAAGGGTGTTACTTAGCACTTAAGGGTGTTAGTTAACAGTTAAGGGTGTTACTTAGCAGTGAAGGGTGTTATTTAGCACTTAAGGGAGTTAGTTAACAGTTAGGGGTGTTACTTAGCAGTTAAGGGTGTTACTTAGCACTTAAGGGAGTTAGTTAACAGTTAGGGGTGTTACTTAGCAGTGAAGAGTGTTACTTAGCACTTAAGGGTGTTAGTTAACAGTTAAGGGTGTTACTTAGCAGTGAAGGGTGTTATTTAGCACTTAAGGGAGTTAGTTAACAGTTAGGGGTGTTACTTAGCAGTTAAGGGTGTTACTTAGCACTTAAGGGAGTTAGTTAACAGTTAGGGGTGTTACTTAGCAGTGAAGGGTGTTATTTAGCACTTAAGGGAGTTAGTTAACAGTTAAGGGTGTTACTTAGCAGTGAAGGGTGTTACTTAGCACTTAAGGGAGTTAGTTAACAGTTAAGGGTGTTACTTTGCAGTAAAGTATGTTAGTTAACAGTTAAGGGTGTTAGTTAACAGTTAAGGATGTAGTTAGTAATTAAGGGTGTTAGTTATCAGTTAAGGGTCTTAGTTAACCGTTAAGGGTCTTAGTTAACAGTTAAGGGTCTCAGTAGTTTAGGGTGTTAATTAACAGTTTATCGTGTTAGTTAACTGTTAAGGTTGTGAGTTAACAGTTAAGAATATTAGTATTTAAGGTGTTAGTTAACAGTTAAGGGTGATACTTAGCAGTTAAGTGTGTTAGTTAACAGTTAAGGGTGTTACATAGCATTTAAGGGTATTAGTTAACAGTTAAGGGTGATACATAGCAGTTGAAGGTGTATGTTAACAGTTAAGAATGATACTTAACAGTTAAGAGTGTTATTTAACAGTTAAGGGTGTTAGTTAGCAGTTAGGGGTATTAGTTAACAGCTAAGGGTGTTAATTAGTATTTACAGGTGTTAATTAGTATTGAAGGGTGTTAGTTAACAGTTAAGGATGTTAGCAGTTAAGGGCGTAAATTAACAGTTAAAGTGTTAGTTAGCAGTTAAGGGTGTTAGTTAGCAGATAAGGTTGTTTATTAAAAGTTAAGTCCATTAGTTAGCAGTAAAGGGTATTAGTAGTATAGGGAAAATTTTGAAATTTGAACACTTCTTTGGAGAATTTTGAAGCCATATGCAGTTATACTGAGGAAATTAGAACATTGAGAAATTATTAATTAACTGTATATTCATTGATAGTGTACAAATTCCCAACACACACACACACACACACACACAAAAGTAAGACATGACTGGAGTCATTCATGTAGTTTCAAGTCGACCAGCCCTGATATAGCTACTACCGCACATGTCAAAAATTTTTAAGAGACTTCACAGAAAAGAATATGTTATTAGTTATTACAGAGAGCTGATTCTCTGCATTATTAATCAGATAAACCTCTACTCAAATAATGGTTCTGTCCAAGAATGCATGTATAGGCTTCTTTAAGTCCAAGGTCAGATGTAATATGTGGAGGCCCCCAGATTGTGGAGGCCCCTGGGCAGCTTATCCACGCAGAGGCAGCTCTTATCGGCTCTGCAACTTCTGTCTCTACACCGCAAGTTAGACACCCTAGAGCAGCTCTGCTACTCTAAGCAGACAGCCGCTCCTCTTCCTGCCCCAAGCACCATGCCCTACCGACCCCAACACACCCGTCCTGCCTCAGACGCCTCCCCCAGCCCAGCAGTACCCCCTGCTACTGTCCTGCACCCTGTTGCTCTCTTGCGCCCTGCTGCTGTCTTGCACCCTGCTGCCGTCATGCACCCTGCTGCTGTCATGCACCCTGCTGCTGTCCTGGACCCTCCTCCTAATGCGGCCCTTGCTCCTGATGCGGCCCCTGCGCCTGACGCGGCCCCTGCTCCTGACGCGGACCTACACACCCCTATTTTCTCCCTCAGGTACCCCCCTGCTGCTGTAATGCACCCAGCTGCTGTCATGGACCCTCTTCCTGACGCGGCCCCTGCTCCTAACGCAGACCCACCCACCCACCAGGCGCTACTGAGGACTCTGTACCTGCCGCGAGAGAAGCACCACATTCCTCGCCTCCACAACCCTCCTTCTCTCCCTGAATCTCCCACAGGTTTTGTGTCACTAGACGGAGTTGTCACCTGCAGCGGCCGAGTCATACGTACACCTGCCCGGTATGTATCACTTGTGGGACGCAACCCTGCCAACCTCCAGCCTCCCGCCGCGCCCAGAGGGGAAGGGGAGTATTGTAGTGGATTCCTCCCCTACAAACGCCATTTGTCGCTGAGTAGCCGACCCTCTTCGAATTCCCCAGCCTGCGCCTCCAGCGCCGCCTGACGGAGCGGGGGTCAACTATCAACCCACGCCTACCCCCGCCTTATAAGACCTCACCCCGCTGTGACCACCCTCTTTCTGCCTACGGCCACCAGCAAGCAACACCTCCTCCTCCTCTGCTCCAGCCTGGCGGCTCCCGCTCCGGCCAGCGACCTTGGCGTCCCTCAAGCTCCGTGCCCTCCTCTGGGCTTCCTCACCGACCAGCTCTCTCTACTCAACGCTTGTAACCATGCTGCCTACCCAGCACCAAGCTGCATTGTACATCCAATACAATATGTATACAGAGAGCACTTTGTGAGTTTCCTTTCTCCAACCCATCCATTTGATTATGTTATGATAGATTATGTTAGCGTTAGGTTACCGTCTGTGGTTAATCTTAGGGCGAAATGAATTAGGGCTGATCTTCAGGTGAAATAAGCTGGCGTGTCTAATCTTCAGGTGATCCTATTTTACAGATTTCAAATCCGTCTTTTTCAGTTGGGTCTGTAGTGGCTTATGCCATACGTATATTGAGAATTATATAAGCATGTCAGGTGAGTCATGGCACAACGCATTGATCATGAAGTTATTGTCTGTCAGTAACGGGTAAACTAATGTGCTCTCCTTCTGTTCGAGTGGATGTGACTTGTGAGTGTTTTGTACCAGGCCAGTTTATAGGTCGAGAACGAGAATACTGTTATATGCTACGTTCACTCTCCTTCCTGTGTCAGGTTTGTATAATAATCGTAGAATGATTTTTTTTCCTTCAAAATTCTAGTTCATCAATTTTGTAGATATGATGGGGAAGACTTGTTGATATACAGGTATGTGTGCCGAGTCCCAAGAGTTCCCTTTACATGGAATATATTGTCAGTATATGTTACTCTTATGTTTCCGGTTTACGTTTGTTTGGTTTCTGTTCGTAGTTTTTATTTCGAAAAATAAGTAGCTGTTATGTATATAAGAAAAATATTTGAGGTGTGAGGACCCCCATGCGAGCGCGCGTCAAGTGATGCTGGTGGCCCTCACGAGCAGTAGGAGTGTGCGCGTGCCAGGGGTTACCATGACGACCAGCCAGGGGAGGGTGTCGGCACCTGACAGCCCTCAGTGTGCTTTCTGCTGTGCCCGGGGGAGTGTTCCGCGCAGACAGGCCCGCAATGAGAGTCCTTAAACCCCCACACTGCTAAGGTAAGGGCCTCTAAATGCCATGTTGCGGGTGCCACTGCGATGCGGAGGTTGTTGCCTCTCAGCCAGGGTGGGTAGGTGCCACGATGGGTCCTCACGGTGGGCTGGATCAATACGTGAGCCCCAGACGTGAGCCCACCACCGCGCAACCGTGTGTGAGTGGTGAGGATGGTGAGCCAACCTTCCCGCCACACCACCGCCGCTGTCACACTTAACACCTCTTATCAAGGCACCGTGTCATGCCCATCAACGCACACTTTCCATCTCCCTCATCACTCTCCATCACCTGCATCACACGTTTACTATTAGCGATAAAATATATCTAAACAACGAAAGAATTGTTAGACGTGAGGAGCGCGTGACATTTAAGAGTGATTACGTACAGTACCTCCGTCAACCAGAGTAAAGGGCTACAGAGTCTTACATGTCCAGGACCCAACCTACAACATCTGTTTCCTACCACCGACTTTGTCTTGATGCAAAATAATCTTGGAAAATTTTTATACAGAAGCAATATATATATATATATATATATATATATATATATATATATTTATATATATATATATATATATATATATATATATATATATATATATATATATATTGATAAAATCACAGGAAAATGGAAACAACAGGTACCTTAGCTTTCGTCTTTATTCAAGACATCTTCAGAGGCAACTGAGAAATATATATATATATATATATATATATATATATATATATATATATATATATATATATATATATATATATATATATATATAATAAAAAATAAACGAAAATAAATTAATTTTATGATTTCATATTCACGGTTGACCTAGACTAGATGTGACCGCTGTAGTGCGTTTACATGAATTATGTGTTATC